CCGCGGGCGCCGCGCGGGCGGGGCGGGGCGCGGAAGGGGCTTCTTGAAACCGCCGCGCGCCCATTGGCGGAGCCTCGCCCCGCCCCCTCCTCCTCTCACCCCCCGCTTCCCTCCGCACCGGCCCTCCCCGCTCCGCAGGGGCCCGGCGGGGCCGGAGGGCGCCGTCCCTTCGCGCCCGCCCCCGGCCCCGGCCGCGAAGGCAGGCGGGGACAGGCAGGGACAGGCGGGGCGGGACGCGGGGCTGGGCCGGGGCGGCCGCGGGCACCGCGGGGGGGGCGAGGGGGGGGCAGCGCGGCCGCTCGGAGCAACGGCGCCCCCTGGCGGCGCGACGGCGCCGGTACCGCGCGGACCCGCCGGGGTCCTGTGTCCGTGTGTCCCCCGTGTAACCGCTGTGTCCGTGTGTCCCCCGGGCCATCCCCGTGTAACCCCTGTGTCCGTGTGTCCCCCGTGTAACCGCTGTGTCCTGTGTCCGTGTGTCCCCCGTGTAACCGCTGTGTCCGTGTGTCCCCCGTGTAACCGCTGTGTCCGTGTGTCCCCCGGGCCATCCCCGTGTAACCCCTGTGTCCGTGTGTCCCCCGTGTAACCGCTGTGTCCGTGTGTCCCCCGGGGCATCCCCGTGTAACCGCTGTGTCCGTGTGTCCCCCGGGCCATCCCTGTGTAACCCCTGTGTCCGTGTGTCCCCCGGGGCATCCCCGTGTAACCGCTGTGTCCGTGTGTCCCCCAGGGCATCCCCGTGTAACCGCTGTGTCCGTGTGTCCCCCGTGTAACCGCTGTGTCCGTGTGTCCCCCGGGGCATCCCCGTGTAACCGCTGTGTCCTGTGTCCGTGTGTCCCCCGGGAGGTCCCTGTTGCTGTGTAACCCCTGTGTCCTGTGTCCGTGTGTCCCCCGGAGGGTCTCTGTCCCTGTGTAACCCCTGTGTCCGTGTGTCCCCCGGAGGGTCTCTGTCCCTGTGTACCCCCGGGGTGCTGCGTCCGTGTGTCCATGCGTGTCTTGTGCCCCCCCGTGGTTGTCCCTGTTCCCATGTATCCCCGGTGTCCTGTGCCCGTGTGCCCACGGGTGTCCTGTGCCTGTGTAACCACTTAGGATGTCCCAGTGTTCATGGAGCCCTCAGGGATACCCCTGTTCTCGTGTACCCCCTGTGTGCTCCTGTCCTCACAGACACCGTGGGACTCTCCCTGCTCTTGTGGACCCCCAGAGCTGTCCCTGTCCTCATGGACCATGCCCTTCTTGGCAGTCCCTTCCCATATGGGCCACCAGCATCTCCCAAACCTTCTCCAGAAGGTCCTGCTTCCCACTGGCCTTTCCCTGCAGCCCTGCAAGCACTGAGGAGCCCTGATGAGCTCCTCATCCTGTCAAAGCCAGACACCACATAGGTACCCCATGTCACGTGCTGTCCCATTCAAACAAACCCCTTTGCCCTGGGCTTTGGTGTTTGAATTAAACCCAAACTAAACCCCAGAGCAAGCCAGAGCCTGGCTCAGCCCAGCAGCACACAACTCCTTCCTCCTCTCCGTTGCAGGGCAGGCAAGCTGGCCTTAGGAAAATTAAGTAAATACCAGTGAAGGAGTTGAAAAATAGGTTACCTTGTAATTGATTTTTTTATTTCTGCCTGCAGCTAAAGAAAAATTAGCCTCCCTGCTATCTTGTGCAGCCCAAGAATGTACTGGGATGCGTAGTAGCTGAAGGGGTGGTGTGACAGCTCCTTTCCCACAGCCTTGCTTCTGAGATTGGCTTTTTTTTTTGTGCCTTTCCCCAGCCTTTAAACTCTGGGAGCTGCCAGGGAAATCTAAAGCTTTGATAGCTTGAAGGAGCCAAGAACAGGACTCCTGGCAGAGTGATGCAGCCCTGATCCTGTGCCAGGAGTCTGGGGAGAGCCCCTCTCTGAGGGATACCCTGGCTCGTGGGGTGCCAGTTCATCACTGTGTGTAATCACCCCATCACAACACTTCACTGTGCCAGTTCAAGCTGCTGCTGCTGCCATGGGATAGCAGAGCCAGTCAGGATGGGAGGGTGGCTCAGGGCAGAGTACCCCAATGCTGGTTTCTGAGCAGTTGGAGGGTTCATCCTCCCCTGCTCGGAGGTATGCAGGACCCCCAGCTCAGTCTCTCCTCCCCGGTGATGCAGAGCTCTTGATGCAGAGAGGCAACATGAGGACTTGATTTATGAAGTGCATTAGCATCAGTTTTTCCCTATTTTCCATAACAAGCTGTTTTCACAGTGATGCCTGTGTGCTGCTCTCACTTCTTCCCATCAGCACCAAGGTTTTGGGGGGCATTTTCCAGGGGGAAGAGACCTTCAGCTCAACCTTGGGTACCTCACTGTCATCAGACACGGGGAGATGTGCTTGGCCCCCCCAGAGAACAGCCTTCCACCCCTGCTTCATGCTGAGGGTGTGGGGTCCTGCACAGACCCTCCCAGGGGCTGTGCCTCCAGATGCTGTGGGTGCTGAGTGTGGCTGGCTGTGTGGCTGGGGGCTCGTGGGTGATTAATGAATCCCATAGTTGGGAGTGGGGTCCCTGCTAAGGGCAGTTTGGGGCACACTGAAAGGCTGTCCAAGCCCCCAGCATCCTGGTCCCCGTGGAAGCAAGTGGAGGGCTGGGGTCTCAGTCTCCAGTAGCTCCATCCCTGGTGTGAGTCCCACTCCTGGCCTCTCACAGTGCTGGGATTAGCTGTGGCTGCACCAGTGCCATGCTGGTGCTTGCCAGCATCCCCTTAAAATCTGAGAAAACCTACATTTCACCAAAGATCTGCCTCGTGCTGCAGCCCCTTTCGCCTGCTGCTGAGCCCCTGAGCAATTCATTCTCCCAACTACTCCAGAAGCGATAAAACCAATAGGTCACTTTTTTTTTTTCCTCTCAGCAGTAATTAATGGTTTAATTAACACACACGACATCCAATTCCCACTGCTTTGCCTGAGCAGCCTCCACTGCCGGGGCGTCACTGCGAACTCTCCGATAACTGGGGGTGGAAAGGGTTAGCCGGGAGCTGGTGGGAGCTGCCGGCTGGAGGCCGCCCATCTGGCCCGGATTTCTTCCGAAGCTGGAAAGTTCTCCTCCTCCTGAGCAGCAGCGGCATATCCAACACGTTCCACAGCCTGCTCTGCTTTTGCACGGGCTTGTTTACTGTGTGGCGGCTTTTACAGCCGAGGAAGAACACGGGCGCCATGAGCACAGCCCTCCTTATTTACCCTGAACGATTTTCCAGTATTTTAACACCAATCCCTGAGAAATTTTAGTTGTCCCAAGGAGAATAGCTGCTTGTAACCGGTTCTAATTACAAGTATGAATGTCAATTAATTCATTTAGCTAATTATCCACTCTCTGAGCATCACGCACCAAAGAACTGTAAAAGATGGGCATATGGTGATGGATCAGAAGGAAGGAGCTGGTGCTGGTGTGTGCTCGCTGGGTGGCCAGGGCTGGGTGTGCCAGGGTGAAGGGATGCAGGCAGCGTGAGGGCTGGGGGAATTACAACATTATGCTAATTGGGCCTGGAAAACATCAACCCTCTCCCTGCAACTTTTGTTTGGAGGCTCGAGCGTGGGTCAAGCATCTGAAGTGTTTCTGATTGTGCTGTTCCCTCTGACTTGGAGGAGTGGGAATAATCATTTTCCCTTCCTGGAGCAAACCTTTTGATCCTAATCTGTGTCTGCAGAAACAAACAGTCCTAAGGAGGGAGGGAGAGATCCCTGAAGAGCTTCCTGGCCAGGAGCCTCTGTGCTAAAGGTGGGGAGATCTTCTAGAGGATGTTCGCTGCAATCTGTTTTGCAGGGCACCTGGGCTACTGCAAGCGGGTAGAAAACCATCTTGGTGAGAAATATCTTATTTGCTGTCCCAAAAGAGGATGCTATAAAGGAAATGTTATTTTCTGAAATGATGAGAGTTAATCACATCTGGGTGCGCAGAGTTACCTGCAAGATATAAAAGGGGTTGTGCTGTCCTGTCCCTCCTCTGAGAATGAAGAATTACAGATTTTATGCAAGCAGCTGAGCAGGAAATTCTCAGTGGGGTTAAAGTTCCAAGGCAACAATCTTCTTCCAGAGGGAATCTCCATCACCATAATTGGATCAATCATCTGGTGCAATGTGGTGCTGCTTCTTCCATCCCCCAAAGGCTCCAAACACCAGTGGGCAAGCATTGCCTTGAGCTGGGCCACCAGTTCCATCCCAGCCTGGCCCAGCCTTCACGGAGGTATCCAGGTGTCCCACCTCCACCTGCACCCAGGGCTAGGGTTCTGATGAACCCATATCCAGCCTAAAATTGAGGTTGCTGAGGCAGGAGCTTTTGCTCTGTTTCAGTGCTTAGTTATTCTCATTTACCAAAAAAAGTGAGGCCTTATTTCCTATTGAATTTGCCTAATTATTCCTCTTCTGGCTTTCCAGTGGCAACACTTGTGCTGCCACTGGCAGGAGCTTTGATCAAACTCTTGTAGGTCTGTTACCAAGATTCACTTATAAAAGTTGTACATCAAATACAAATGAAACAACATCTGCCCCAAACCCAGTAGTCATTATTGTGGTGACATGGTAATTTGCATTTTATTTCCTCGTTTAAAAAAAAAAAAAAAGTTTTTGTGATAAGCCCTGTTAAAGGTACTTCATAGGCAGAAGAGCCAGGGAGCAGCTGTGTGGATTGGAGTGGCTCTGGAGAAGTCTGCTGAGGCTTTCCCAGCATTGTGTCCGTGCCCGCGGCTCCTGGGAAAACACAGATATTTTCAGGCAAGTTTAACTGAGTGCCCCTCACTGGGGTGGTGGGGGAGAAGAGGGGTTTATGAGTGGGCTGGGGAGGGGACCCAGGACCTCATTCCAGGGTCTGCTCCCTGGGGAGAGATGAAGGAAGCCGGCAGCACCCTGCTCCGCAGAGCTGTTGGCAGCGTTCCGCTGCCTCCCGCCACGCTCCCTGGCTCTGCAGCCAGCCCGACACATTCCCTCCTGCATCCAGAGCCAGCCTTCAGAGCGCCGGCCATTTTCCAGGCTAGAGCAGATCTGCCAAGCGCTACCTTAAGAAAAGTTATGCATGACCATATTAAGGAAGCGGGAGGGGGTGTGCGCTGGCCCCGTCCCAGGGCTCCGCGCCAGCCTAGCCTCGACGCCCGCTCCCGGTGCCGGCCGGGTGCGCAGGTGTCCGGACGCTTCTCCTCCGAGCCAGCCATCGCCTCGACACCTCCCGCAAATGCTCAGCTTCTTCTGGCTGAGGTGAGGGCTGAGGGGAGCCGGGGACGGTGGGGACAAGGCGGGGAAACCCCACTGCTGAGTGAGCGTGAGCCAGAGTCTGGCGCTGCTGCAGAGAGTTCTACTCCGGGCAGCGGAGCGGTGGCTTGTCCTGGCTTGCGTCGGCGCTGGGCAGCTCTGGCAGGGGGAAGTGTGTGGAGTCAAAGCCCTTTGTGCCCCTCTGCTCACTCGGGTGATGCTTTCTTGCCCGTGGGGTTTGCAGTGAGCTGTGCTGATGCTCCATCGCGGTCGGCACTGGCGACTTGTCAATGGGGACGTGGCACCCTCCGGCTGCAAAAGGGACAGCGGGGGGAGGGTTGGCTTGGATCAGCTTTTTTTTTTTCCTGCTTAAAAGCAGGGGCAGATATTTGGGAAGCATGGGCACAGGGCTGTGGGGAATGGTGGCGGTGCGGGGATGGCAGAGGGGTGTGCTGGGGCTGGTTGGGGCAGTGTGGGTGGCTCGGTGGCACAACGTTGCAGTGGTCTTCACGCCGTTGGTCTCAACTGAGGTGGTCTTGGCCACGGTAACTACCATGATGGAGACCACCACGGCAGAGACTACTGCATTCCTGGGTGTCTACCTGGGTAGTTTTCAACCCAGGGGTTTCAACCATGGTGACCCCCACAGTGGAGACCACCACAGTGGAGACCCACGAGGGTGTAAACCATTGCACCATCTAGGTCTCCACTGTGGTGGTCTCCAACTTGGTGAGCTTGACTGTGGTGGTCTTAACTACGGCTGTATGGATGTTATGGCAATCTCTTCCCTGGGAACACCGTGGGTGGCAGGGCAAAGGTGCCTGGGCTGGGCAATGCTATTGGGTGTCCCCATGCGTGTGAATTCTGGCCCTGGAGGTGTTTGCAGTTGTACCAGGGTGACATGTGGCTCTGCTCTACCCCTGGGTCAGAGCCAGACCTTTGTCCCCTGCAACGCTCCCTGAGGGACTTCACCCCTGTGCTGCCAAAGCGGCACCAGCCTTCCTGAGAGCCTCACGGGAGCTGCAGAGAGCATCTGGGCAGGAGTATTGATGGGGCTGTGGGCATGGCCAGGGCTGGGGACGCTTCACCCAGGGATGGAGAGGGATGTGAGGGCTGCTGCACTCACCCTGAGTTAAGCTTTCCCATGGGTGATGGTTGTAAAGCCCTGACCCCTTGTAAGTGGAGTCATCCCGTGTCTCCACGTTGCCTTTCACCCTTGGTTTTTGCTTTCCTGGCCTCATACTTGGCTCTGCTCCGTGAAATCTAGGGAAACATGACGTACGGTGCCAAAAAGCCACTTGCAGGGTGCCCTGGCCTTTCTCCTGGGCTGGCTGCCCTCCTGGAGTCCCACTGAGAACCACTGCAGGGAACCCCCATGTTTCCTCACCTGTGTTTCCTCAGCTGTGCTGTGACCCAGCAATTCAGTCCCTCTTGTCCCACTGGTTCTCATCCTGGCGAGCCCACACCATCCTGATGGGCATGGGGTGATGGAGTTGAGCTGTACTGGGTGTCTCCATTGCCACTTACCAGTGGGGGTCCTGCTGGAAGGGACATCTCCCTTTGCACAAAACCTGCCTGTCTCATTCCTGGGAACACCAGGGCTTTGGCTGGCACTGGGACCATCAAACTGGGTCTCAGGGGATGGAGAGCCCTCACTGCCCTGTGGAGATGGCAGAATTTCCCAAAGTAGGTCAGGTTAATTTTTTAACGCGTGCAGATTTGCTTGTTACCATGGATATTGCTCAATTATACACCGATAATCCCCCATGAGAACTTCATTGTCACTGCTTTTCTCCCCCCTATCTCCCCTTTTTTTTCCTTCAGATATTTCCAGGGAGGGGTAAGGTTCAGGGGCTGGGGTGGGAGTAGGAGACAGAGCCAGGCCAGGAAAAAGGGGATTAGGTGTTTGGGAGGCAGCAGTGGGCTGGTGGGAGAGCTCTGAGGGCAAGCAGGGATGGCTTAAGGTGTGAGGCTACCCCACTCTGCCCAAAGCCCCCCACAGCCCAACACAGGGGACCCCAGTATCCCTTGTCCCTCCCTCTCATCCACTGCTTGGGAGTGGCTAAAGCAAACCCCCTGCTTCCAGTGGGCTTAAGGATTTGAGGTACAACTGCTCTTCTGCATCCCTGCCTGGCATCACCCCAGGGGCTGTGGAACCCATCAGGGTTTCAAGCTTGTGGTCCCCACATGATTTCCCAAGAGGCTGGCACCCAGTTCGGCAGCAGAGACCTTCCCTAAAGCTTATGGGTGTTTTGGTACTGTGGAACACAGGGAATAGGAGACCTCTGGGATCCCTCTCCCCTGGTATTTGCAGATCCCTTGGAATGTCTCCCCCACCGTGCCCTTCCTGGTTTGCTCTGTGGACTCCTTATGCCTTCAGCAGCACAGGAACTGAGTGTGGCAGGAGGCAAGAAAAATATTATACTAGAAGAGGTTTTTTCCTAATGCAAACTTTTTTTTTTTTTTTGGATAGAAGTGGGTCACTCGAGGGGTGACAGAGTAAGAGCATCATCGCCTGGGTACTGCATCCCGTTGCCATGGTGACCTGAGGGCTGCATCAGTCAACAGCTTTAAAAATGTGACAGTTGAGTGAGGCTGAAGATTTTAATGAGGACAGACACTTGCTCGCTTAGTTTCGATAACAAATACTCCATAAATACCCACTGGCTGGATGGTTCCGGGTCTCTGGAGCGTGGCTGGGGCGCTTCCCCTTCCCCAGGGTGGGAGCGTGGGCTGGGGCTGCCTGGGAAATAACAGGGGGATGATGCAAAGCAGACAGCTCTGTTTTTTTCCCCCTCCTGCTAACGCAACCCAGGGGACAAGCTGACACGATTGCCGAGCCAGGAGCAGGTTTGGGTTTCCAAGGAATGTCCCTCTGGCGCTGTCTGCTGTGGCTGTGGGGTGTAACAGGACCGCCCCTAGCCACCGCTTGTCCCTGCAATTAGGGAGCGAACCCATTTTGCTAAACAGGAGAGTAACCCTTACACTAGGCTCTTGCAAGGGTAGGTGAGCAATAAGGAAGCTCCCAGGCCTCCGTAACAAAGCTGGAGAGGTCTTGGGGCTGGGAAAACAGAACACGGTGCCACCGGGGCAAGGGTGGGAGGCTGTGAGAGGCTCAGTGCTGCCATTTGCATCTGTAGGTGACCTGAGAACCCTCATTTTGCACCAACACTGTGTGATGCCCAAACCTCAGCTCCTGCAAAGGGCTGAGGGCACAGGAGGCAAACCTGCAGCTTCCACTTTTTTAACCCCATGCCGAAATCAGTCAATCCCACGCCTTGCAAAAGGAGCTACTGCCTCCAGCAGCCTGGTTGTACCTGCGTGGGAGAGGGAGGTGTGCTGGGAAGCTGAAGGCACGCCAAGGGCCTGGTGGTGTTGTGTTTGAAAGTAAACTGTAAATATAAAGCCCCTTACACTTGTTTTTGCTGCAGCTCCCACTCTGCCTTTCCTTGCAATGTCACTAAGATTGTCCAGCTGGGACCCAGTCACCGTGCATGTGGCCTGGGAGCCTGAGGGTGCCCAAGGACACACAGTGCCCTTGGGGAATGCCAGGGCTTCAGAGGCAGAGGGGCTGGAGCAGAGCACAGCAGCATTGCTGCCATCGGGCGCTTCCCATTTGCTGCCCCTGGTACCACCCGTGAGCAGCCTGAGCCCTGCCCACCGCCAAAAATATGCTCCTGGCTGTCTTGTGACTGCGGTGGTGTCACCACTCTGGCCAGGGGAGCTTCAAGGCACAGTCCTCTCTCACGTGTAGCAACACGAGGAAGCACTGACACAGCATCACTGACCGAGGGATGGGCCATGACCCTGCGCCCTGGGCTAGGTCCAGCACCCCAAAATAGTTGGGTTCTTTCATCGCAGCCGGTGACCGTGGGTCCTGACCCCCAAGGAATGGCAGGCATTAGCCCAGGTTCTGCCCTTCTCTTTTTCAGCTCTGGCAGCCCCCTAATAGGTTCTGGTGAGGGGTAAGAGGTGCGGGGAGGGACATCAGCATGGAATGTGGGGACAGGGTGTGACAATCGGACACACACACTGCCTTGTCCCTGCTGGTAAACAGCCACTCCCAATCTGCCAATCCTACTGTAACCAGAGCCACTCTTCTGCTTTCCAGGTGTCTCTTAAAAATGGTCAAGGGGAATATTATAGTCCCTGAAGAGATCTTGAACTTCTGTTGCAATGGCCTCCAGGTACCCCCCATGCCGTGCAACTAACCCCGGGGCTCCCCATTGTGCCAGTGGCTACTAACCAAGGCAAATGCCATCCTGTGCCAGGAGCTGCCCTCAGACCTGCACCGGCCCCAGTTGCATCTGCTTCCCATCAGCATCACTGCTCATGTGCTGGCTACCTCAGAGTCAGAGCTTTTCCTATGGGTAGCAGCTTTTCCCCTAAAATTCAGGAATGTCAAACACCAGGAAAATGACCGTTGGGATCTCTGGCCAGGCTGTCTGCTCGCTCTGCAGCAGGAGGCTTTGGAGCTCTTTGCATTGCTGGCTCGAACCCTGGAGCCTGCTGGCTTCCTTAAATAGCTCTGTGGTACTCATGTAGGCGCCTCTGCACACTGGGAAGCAGTCCGGGAGGTTCACAGAGGGGTTTGGAGCCCGCTGGAGGGGCTCTGGTGACTGAGAGTCCATCTCACTGTGGGATGGGGGGCCCTTTAGCATAGGCTTGGCTTGGCGTGCTTGCCTCTGTCCCTGCTGAGGAGAGGTTTGTGCTGTTCCTGGGATGTCGTGTACCAGTAGCTATGGAAACAGAGGTTTGACCCGCTGGAGAAAAATGCTATTCTGAGAGGCAATGAGCTCAGGGTAGTCGGGAAGGCTTCATTTTCAGCATGAACCGGTCTTTGAAAGAATCCAGGCAAAGCAAAGGGCAGAGAGGTTGCTGCAGTGGGACTCTCGCAACAAGTGCTGTGAGCAGGAGCCGCAGAGGGAGCAGAAAGCGGAAGGAAGGGCTGTGACGAAGCCCAGACAACTCCTCAAGTCTCCTTAATTACTCACTGGGCTAACTGAGTTCACGCCTTGTGTAACACGACTCACTTGACATCTCATCAGCTATTTTCCTTGCCAGCACCGCCACAGTAGCAGCTTCTGTCTCCCATCCTGCCTCGCACCAGGGTGCCAGGGGAGCTATTCTGTGCCCAGCAAATGGCCAAGCAACAGGGAACATATTTTACTGCCCAGGGTGCTTCTCCTCTGCTTCTTGTACCACATAGCTTTCAGTGTTTCCTTTGGCAAAAGGGGGTGTTGGTGGAAAGTGTGGAGCACCGCTACTTACCCAACCACAGGAGAGTGAACCCACCCTGTGCTGCAGCACCCTAAAAATTAAGCTGTTAGGGGAGAAAAATTCCTTCACAGAGAACTGATTGACTCTGGGAGGGGTTTTGCCGGATTTTGGGAGGAAGAAGTGGGGTTGGGTGATAAATGGCCTGGAAACCATGGAGCTTATTTTAAGGGGATTTTTTTCCTTTTGGCTGTGGGAACTATGTATTTGGCAAGGACTGGGTGGGTTTTGGTGGTGTCTGGGGATATGCAGGGCTGAGGTTCTTCTGGCTCAGTGAGGGGAGTGGGCTGCATGGTCACTGCTGTCTTGGGGGTTTGGTTAAAACAGAGCTCTCGTCCCACCAGGGCTCAACCTCTCCACCACGTGCCCAGGAGCCAGGGGAGCGGGAGGAGGCACCGGGGACCATGGCGAGCCCCTTGCCTGCCCGCAACCCCACCGAGGTGCAGATGAGCCAGCTGGTGCTGCCCTGCCACACCAACCACCGCAACGAGCTCAGCACTGGCCAGCTGCTCAAGTGGATCGACACGGCTGCCTGCCTCTCCGGTAAGCCATCCTCTCCCTCTGGAGCCATTGTCCTGCTGGGCTGGGAGGGAATGACCAGGCAGTGTCCCCAGAAGCCAGCTCATCAGCAACATGCCTGGCAGTCCAGCACTGTCCCTCAGAGTGATGCCAGCTGGGGACCTCACATCATGCCATTTTGCTGAGTAATTAGAGAACAAACAAGAAGGGGAGGAGACGTGCACTGCAGCATGCAATGCTGGCTTAGGGACAGATCAAAATCCACGCCAGCTTCTTTCAAAATGCTGCCCTTTTCCTTGGCTGGTGTGCAGGGCATGGTGAGACCAGGATGGTGACATCCCCAGCATCCCAGCAGCAGCCAGAAGGGAATGAGCTCCTCCACTCAGTGGGAAGTGATGGAGCTCACCAGCTTGGCTGCCCCACCAAGCACAGGGAGGTTATGACAGGAAACAAGTTCAATTCTGCAATTTGATGAGGTTCCCAGAGCAGATTTACAGTCTGAGGTTCCTGGAGTCCCAAGGGAAAGCCAGACGGGTGGAGCGGCTTTAAAATATTTGCTGTGTGTGGGGAGATGGTATCAGCTGCTGCTGCATCCCCACAGCTGCAAACACAGGGAGGGAAGGCAAACATCAGGACAATGTCCTTCCCAGTTATACTCGCAGCACACCCTCCAAACCTTTGAACATCTGCAAATCCATGCTGCTGTGGGAGAAGAAACCCCAAATCCCACTCCTGTCCCCTGCAAACACAGCAAGGGACAGATGATCAGGGAAGGGATGCTGGCTGGGGTATCACCGGTGTCACCAGCCATGGGGCAGTGGCACACACGTGCCCCTCACACCCTCGGTGTGTTGCTGCAGGTTGCTGATGCAGTTTGTTTTTCCTTTCCAGCCGAGAGACACGCTGGCTGCCCGTGCGTCACGGCTTCCATGGATGATATCTATTTTGAGCATACCATTAGGTAAATACTCCACGCTCCAACAGGGCATGCGCAAGGAAACGGAGGGGTTTTTCCCATCTGCCGGGTGCAACGTGGACAGTGGGGCTGGATTTGGGAGCAGCGTGCCTGGGAGAGGAGGAGATGCGGTGGCAGTGCCAGGCTCACAGGGCAGCCAGGGACTGAGGCTCCGTCTCTGCCGCAGGGCTGAGGAACGACTGTCTGCTCTGATTTATCCTCTGTCTGGGCCCCTGGGGAGCTCCTGCTGGGTTGGCTTCCCGGTATTTCCCCCAACGCCAGCTCCTCCCTGGCTTTGTCTAAGAAGCAACTCTGATTTAGTGCTCTGGAAAACTCAAATCTTGCAAATCGTGCCTCTCTAGTGGCCGTGTGGGTGGCTGGGGCGTGGTGGTCCTCCCCCACCCACCGAGTGCTGGGGGAGGTGGGACCTCCCTGCACATCACTCTGTGAGATGCATCAGGCTGACCTTTGCTTGGCCAAACTCCCCTCCCAGGCTTGTCCTGGCAGCCCCTGGGTGCTGTTCCCCCAGGGCTGCCATGTGGCAGGGGACAACATTTCTCTGTGCATCCCTGCAGGTAGTATAGGATCTGTGCAGTATAGGATCCATGCAGTATGGGATCCCTTGCAGTATAGGATCCATACTGTCCAGCCACTCCCTGCTGTGCAGATCTGCCTGCTGGGGCAGGGACCAGTTTGGGTACCCAGGGCTGGCACTGGGGTCCCCAGCTGTCAACTGATTTATTTGACCCCAGGAAGTCCGACTCACTCTTCGGTTTCACCGTCATTCCCAGGAAATGCTGAACTCCTACTTTTGCCCTCTCATATCAGGTTGGTGGGGATGAGCTGCCCGTTGCTCTGGGCTCAGCTCCATGACAAATCCACAGGGTGGGGATGTGGTGCAGCCCTGGTACCACCTTCCAGTGGCAGAGGTGGCACCACTGGGGTTGATATGCTGCCACGTGGCTCCAGCTCCCAGAGCAGCTTTCCCTGGGAAGCTTTTCCCCATGGGTTTTGGGAGCAGGATGACAGATGCAAGGCCTGCTCCACAGCATTACATCAAGCTCTGAAAAGCACTTGTCCCTCCTCAGGGGCGAGTCAGGCACCACTCCAAAGGGTCAGGGAATCTGTGCTGCTCCTGGCTCAGATCCCATTTGCTGTGGTCCAGCTTAAGGCTCCAAGCAAGGGGCCTGGCAGGGATTTCCCACAGAGATGTTGGAAGGCAAAGGAGCTTTGTGGTGTTTGTTGTTGGCTCTGCTCCTCTCCCAGCTGTTTGTGCTTTCTGCTGCCCTCCCACTGTGGGGGAGAGGCAGGGAGGAGCTGTAGGTGCTTGGGGGCACGGAGGAGACCCCAAAACATCACTAACTTAAAACTCATCAGCTGTGCAGCAGATCCTCGCCATCCCTCCACCCTGCCATGGGGAAGTGCAGCCTCCCAGGAGGATTGCACATACCTTTGAGCCAGGCTTTTTGTGGCTTTTATGGCACTGGCTTGTACTGTTTGATAAGGAGAGAGAAGATAGAGTATTTTTGGGGCTGTGTATCTACATCTGGGGCTGCCAACGTGCCAGCCCAGCCCTTGCCCTTGCATGCCCTTCGCCTCAAACACATCCGGAGCATCCATGTGGCCGCTTCCATTGCCTCTAACCCTCTCCTCCCATCTTGCTTTCTCTTTTTGCACCAGCCAGCTGTATCTAAGCCCTGCGGGGCAGCGGGACGGGAGGAGCGGTGTCTGGTACGGATGTTTGCAGCCCTAGAGCAGCCAGCCTAACGCAGCTCTGCCGTGAGTTGGGAGCATTAACCCCACTGACGTGGCATGGCATGGTGAATGGAGGCTGCTCATGTAACCCTGCTAATGTTTTGGCATGTCATTGGGCCCAGAGTCTGTGCTGGGGGATGGCTGGAGGCACCATCCCAGCCTCAGGCCACCCCTGCTCCAGCCAGAGCACACGTGCACAGTGTGTTGAGTAGCAGAGATCCTTTGAAGCCAGAAATCATGCGGAGGGCAAGGGGAAAGTTGCAGTGCTGAAGCACTTGCTGACTCTTCCTTGCTTCTGGTTTTGAGCCCTGTGTGGAGCAAACCTGCAGTGATGGTGACAGCGTTTATTTTTCCAGGGTTTTTCTAGCACTGGCCTCTTTTAGGGAATGAGGAATATTCCTGATTTAATAAGGCATTTGTTAAAGACTGTTTGCTGTGGGTCTCACTAATAAGCTTCACTTGCTTATTTCGTGGGTACCAGTTTGGAGTAGGTTAGGCTGCAGAGCCGAAGTTGTCAGAGGAGAGCTCCTGGACTCTGCAAGCTGCAGTTTGCTGCCAGCTGCAGTTTGCTACCAGCAGATGTTCAATTTAAGAGATGGTGCAAAATGCCCCTGGCCAGATCCTGCATCCTGCCATGTCCGAGTACCCCAAGGTGTCCACTGCTCTAGGGGAGGCCCTGGAGAGGAGGAGGAACAGGAGCAGTCAAGGTACCTGAAGCTTTGGGGCAGTGGCTGAGGGCCCACGGGAGGCCCCATGGCTGTTCCTGTTGTGCAGGACAGTGGATGCAAGGCTGGAGGAGCCGTTTGCTCTGGCAGGAGTGTGCATGCCTACATGGGCAGCGGGTACCAAGCAAGCCTTGGGCACCTCCTCTGCTCAAGCACTCTGGACTGGGGACCCACTTGCACACAGCTACTCAGGGGTGACATATTACCCAGCTGGGCTGGACAGCTGTGGGATCTCATGTCCCAAAGGTGGCTGTCCCTATGTCCTGCTGGCCATCCAGCATGTCCCACAGTCCCAGCAAGCCTTACCACAGTGGACAGTAGGCTATAATGCTGTGGCACCTCAGTGGGAGCTTCTTGGTGGCCGCTTTCCCCCAGTAACCCCACGCACTTTCTCCTGTTCCTGTTTTTCAGTGTCGGGCAAGTTGTCAACATCAAAGCCAAAGTGAACCGAGCCTTTAACTCCAGCATGGAGGTTGGTGTGTACCTCCCACCTTCCGCCCCCTGCCCCTGTCCCCCTACACAGCCAAGTGCCAAATCCCCTAATCCTCCAGCAGTTCCCAGCTTTGATCCCAAAATATATCCTCTTGTGTATATCCTCTCTGGCTGGCTCTGTCCAGGGGTGCTTGGTGGGATGTTGTTCCCTGGGGAGCAGAGCCAGCTCTCAGGGATGCTGTGCCCTCTCCCAGGTGGGTATCCAGGTGAGCTATGAAGATCTGTGCAGCGGGAAGCACTGCAGTATCTGCAAGGCGTACGCCACCTTTGTGGCACAGGACCCCTCTGGCGGCAAGGTGAGCACGGTGTCTCAGGGGGCTCAGTTGTCCTCTGCACAGAGGCAGTAAGGAAATGGCCTCTCTGGGGCTGATCTGGGCCCAGCTTTCCATCAGGACACTTCCTGTCCCATGCTTGTGGGATGCAGCATGGGGGCTCTGCCCGTGGGACACACGGTGCTGTAGGAACATGTGCTGGTGCCCGAAGGAGCCCTGCCTCCTCTGGCAGCAGGACTGCACTGCCCCATCCCCTTTGCAGGTGAGGCTGAAGCCGCTGACCCCGCAGACAGAGGAGGAAAAGATCGAGTACAGCATCGCCGCTGAGCGCCGCCGCATGCGTTTGGTGCACAAGGACACCCTCAAGGACCTCCTCACTCGCAGCCCCCCTGACACCGGTACCGTGTCCCACAGCCTGGGTTTCCATCACCAAAGTAGCCCTGATGCCCACTGGTGACAATCCCTTTCCTCAGCAGGATGCTGGTGGGGAACAGTGGTGATCACCATGTGGAGTTTTGGGCAGGCCCTGGTCATGGCAGGGTAGGGATCAGCCCCACCATCCCAGACAGTGTGTGCCAGGTTAATGCAGTGGGAGGGCAGCTGTGAGGAGAGGGGGAAAGGGCTGGTGGGCTGCTGGGAGCAGGGCTCCCAGTGGTCATCCAACACGCTGAACCCTGTTCTCCTGATGTGGCAGAGCTGGAGACACGGGACGGCAGCGGGGCAGTGCCGGCGGAGAAGACGCGTGTGGAGAGCGTGGAGCTGGTGCTGCCTCCACATGCCAACCATCAGGGCAACACCTTCGGTGGGCAGATCATGGCCTGGATGGAGAATGTGGCCACCATTGCAGCCAGGTGACCCAAGAGGGATTCAGTATAGGGGATGGTGTGCCTGGAGGGGACACACAATCAGGGCAGAGTCTGGCGAGGTGTGACCGCAGTTGGGTTGTAGGTACCTTCCAAAGGGATGGTCCCCAGCACGTCACCCTTGGGGGATGCCATACAGGGAGTCCCATGGATGTGTAGAGCTGAGGGACCCCAGGGAAGGGTTGGCTTATTGTCCCTTCTCATGGCTGGCTTTGATAATCGAAATGCAGGGGTGACATTTTTTGGGGTCCTCTTGGTTCTGACTGGGTCAGGGAGGGTGTGCCATGGGGCCATGGCTGGGGAGTAACTCCTGCCCCTGCAGCCGGCTGTGCCATGCCCACCCCACACTGAGGGCCATCGAGATGTTCCACTTTCGGGGACCTTCGCAAGTTGGGGACCGCCTGGTGCTCAAAGCCATCGTCAACAATTCCTTCAAAAACAGGTGGGTGCTGGCAGATGGAGGTTTCCATCCCACCTGGGGGGTCCCCATCCCACCCTCCTGACAGCTTTACACGCTCTCACCCCTTTTTCTCCGGCAGCATGGAGGTGGGGGTCAGCGCCGAGGCGTACGGCCCGGAGATGTCTGTCAGCCCACGGCACATCAACAGCGCCTTCATGACCTTCGAGGTGCTGGACCAGGAGGGCCGGCCCCGCACGCTGCCCATGGTGGCACCCGAGCCAGGGGTAAGGATGGGCAGGGATGGCTTCTCTGGAGTTCTGTGGGACCCCTGGGAATCCCGCTCAGCCCTGAGGGGCTCTCAGATTCACAGCAAAACAAATGCAGTTTTATGATGATGGAAATGAAATTGCTCAATAGCAAGTGAATTAAATGGATTGCTCGGTATAACTAATAAAATAAACCACTTGCCTGTGCGGGGATGGAGATGTATTAGCCATGCAAGGCTTAACAGAGAATTGCCTGCAAATTCCAGTTCATTTTTTCCATAATTTAGGGGAAAGAATGCAAACCTCTGAGACTGTTTTTACTTTTCAAAGTGTCCTAATCCATAATTTGCTCAGATCCGAATATTTAAGGAAATCTGTCACATGAGCACAGCAACAATCTCAGCTTCCCCTGAGCTGATCCTTGCCCATCTGCCTGATTTTTTGGATGCCTTAAAACTAGGGTCTCCTACCCTGATGAAGATCCTCTCATGCCCAGAGTCAGGCTCCCTGAAACCTCATAGCCAGGCCTGCTTTAAAACACTGCGGTAGCACTTTCTTCAAAATAGGCCGGTTTCTTTGGGGTTTTATTCCCCCAGGAGAGGACATTGGCAGGTGCAAGGGGACATGATTTGTGTTTCAGGGGCTATTTGCAGCTTTGCAGCCACAATAAGGGTTTTCCCTAATGTGCCAGTGCCCATCATTGATCACACCGTGGTGGCAGTGCCCAAATAGCTCACAATTAATCACTAACCACCACTGCAGTATAGCTGGGGTGGCAGCCAGCGAGTGCAGGGGTTTTACATGTTTCCTGTATCCTTTAGAGCCCTTTGAAGGGTGGAAAAGATAAATGACTGGGGTTTTTTTCCTCCTTTTCCTATTAACCTAATTGGCTTTTCCCATTTATCAGGATGGAGAAAGGAGGTACAGAGAAGCCAGTGCTAGGAAAAAAATTCGGCTGGACCGGTGAGCAGAAAAGCAAGTGGAGGAGAGAAGGACTCTGCACTTGGGTGCAGGGACAGTCTGTGGGTGGTTTGTGTCCTCTCATAAGGGAAACTGTTCCTTTTCTGCAGAAAATACGTTGTCTCCTGCAAACAGACCGAGGTGCCACTCTCTGTGCCCTGGGACCAAAGCAACAAGGTAGGATGCTTCCTTGAAGGACCCTCTGCCTCCTGCCCAGCATCCTGCCCTTGCTCTTGCCCCTGACATGCTGCCCCTGCCCCAGGTTTATCTGAGCTACAACAATGTCTCTGCGCTGAAGACACTCGTAGCCAAAGCAAACTGGGCACTCGCCAGGGAAAAGGAAAAGGTACCAAACCCTGCCCCTTCCCCCTGAGATGCCCCTCGCCCCCAAATCACGGGCAACCTGGGGGCTTGGTGTTGGGGAACACATCCCAACCGTGCCCTGTGCTCCCCAAGGTGAGGATGTACACGCTGGAGGAGGATAAATTCCTGTCCTTCCGCATTGAGATGTCCGTCTGCATCACGGCCAGCCAAGCCTTCTCCCTGCTCTCCAACCTGCGGCGCCGGCACGAGTGGGACAGTCACTATGTGTGAGTGCTGTAGGGCTGGGCATCCAGCCCTTCCCAAAAATCACACCCCTAAATTTAAGGCTTGTGGTTAAGCGTCCCTTTGGGCTTTCTTGGGAGCAAGTGTGTTGCCCTGGAGCCGTGATTGCTCCTAGAGACTCTCCACTGTTTGTCTCCATCCTGACTCCACCTGGGCTGATGGCTGCAGAAAACATCTATTTTGGGTCCCCAAAAATATTTTGAGTCCAGGGTGGGCTGTACATGTGCAAGCCTCCAGATTTGGGGGGGCACAGTGGGGTTTCTGTGAGCAGTTGCCTCCCCTTGCAGGAGTGCTGAGCTCGTCCAGAAGGTGGATGACGATGACATGATCTACCACGTGGTGAGCCGGATGCACAGACAGGAGAGCAAGCTGCAGGACTTTGTCATCCTGGCATCCCGGCGGAAACCCTGCAGCAAGGGGTAACTGTCCCTAACCCGACCCCTGCTCCCTGCCAGCAGGGCTGTGCTGGCTCACCTGGCCTCTCTCCTTCCCAGGGACCCCTATGTGGTGGCCTTTCGGTCGGTGACACTGCCCACCCACCCCCAGAGCTGAATACACGCGTGGGGAGACACTCTGCTCTGGTTTCTGCATTTGGCCGGAGTCAGAGGAGATGAGCAAGGTGGGATGCTGTGACCATGCTGCGGGGCCGTGCTGCCCCCACTCCACTGGGGAGGCTCCTTCTTCCCCACGTGCCCCTACTGACCATCTCCCGTGCCTCGCAGGTGGCTTACTACAACCAGGCTATGCCTGGGTACCTCAACTACGTCACCACCAATGTGGCAGGGCTGTCCTCTGACATCTGTGCCACCTTCGAAGCCTGCGAGAAGTTCCTGCTGAAGAACAAAGAGGACCTGATCTCACGGCTGCAGGACTTCTAGAGCCACAGAACCCTGCTGACAGACGGACACAGACGAAGGGACACCTCCATGTTGGAAGGGGATGTGGATGGTGGCACCCAGACCCTGCCTCCCTGGGGCTTGGGGTGGAGGGGCATTACTGCACCACCTCATCCCTTGCACTGACATGTCATATCTTTTCTTCTTTCTTTTTTTCTTTTTTTTTTTTTTTTTTTTTAAATTTTATTTAGAGATTTTATAAGCTGATGTACAGGACTTGGATTTCTTGTTTTCTTAATGCTACTTGAATCTTTATATGATCCAAAATCTTACTAAACCAGTTTTTTTTTTTTTTTTAACTGGTTCTTTGTGGGGGATTACTGGTTCCCTTTAAGGTAGTAAAGGAAGAGAGAGGGCAGTGATATGGAGAGGGTGCTCTACCCCTCCTCAGTGCAGGGGTGGCTGGCAGTGAACCCCACTTTCCCAGGTGCTGCTTCTCTTCCCAGGCAAGGCTGACAAACAGCCCATGCTCCTGCTAGGCTGCAATCCTACCCCATGGGGCTGTGGAAGGAGTAGCAATAAAAGTGCATTGAAAGGAAAAATATCCATATGTGCTCTGGGTGAATGTCTGCTGTGGGGATTTGCTGTGTCGCTGCCTGGGTGGCAAGCATGGAACAGGGATCCTGCCCCCACAGCCCACCCCAGGCAGGTGCCATTTCCCTTACTGAGGAGAGGGACGGTGCCCCAACAGCTGCTGCCTGGGGCTCAGGTGGATGAGGGGGATCATTTGAGGCAGGACTTCGTGCTGTAGGAATGGGGTGTCAGCTGGTGCTCCATGAGAGTGGCCTTTGGGGACTGTCTGGAGGCATTGCCACTGTGCCTGGGGCAGACCTGTGGAGCTGCCCCTCATCCCTGTCTGCTGGGTGCACCAACACCTTGAGATGTAACCCCCAAACTGCCTCAGGGGTGTTGAAAAAGCGAAAACCAGACAAAGCCCAACCTTGTTTTTCAAAGTCTGAGATGCTCTGAGAAAGCCACTGGAATGCAGTGGGGGTGATGTGGAAGTGCTACTCATCAGTCACAGCCCTGAGGAGAACCCCCTCCCAGGCCTTCCTGGGCCACACAGACAGAGGTTTTCTGATGGAACTGATGTTCTGAAGGGCTTGCTGCCTGATGGGATGGGGACAGGCCCCAGGAGCCCTTGGGCATGCAGAACTTTGCTTCCAGAGCGTCATGAACTTAAACCCAAGGATGGGTTTTGCAGAGCTTAACCATGATGATGCTGTGCTCAGGGTAAGATGAGGCCATGGGGTACCAAAAATATGCACAGGGTCTTTTCCAGGCATCCCAGGGTGTCTTTTTCCTTTCTGCAACATCCAGTCCTTAAAAAGGTTCTTTGCCACCCAAATTCCCCACCTGGTTTATAAGCAGGAGCTCCTGCCCCTCTCTTGTGGCCACAGGCCAGTAGCTCCTAACCCTGGGCTGGCTGTGGCCATAAACCCCTAATCTCTGTTGTACCTTGCATCATAAACATCTCAGCTCAAGGCCTGGCATGGCTCTGCCTCGACCTCCACAAGATAAAGCCATCTCAGGCTGACCATAGTACAAAACATTCAATTTTTATGGAGACCTCTTATCTCCCAAAACTCAGAGCAATCCTGCCTTTTTATCACCAGGACCTGAGACATCCTTTCTACTTATCCTTAGGAATTGCTGCTGCTTGATTAGGTGGAGGGGATGATGTATTTGCCTGAACATTAAACTTTAGCTGACCTCTCCTTCTCCTTAAGTATTGTGCTTTTTACCTCTGCCAGGCCGTGGTCAGCCCTGGCTCCGGCCTGGCTGGGTCCCTGGGGATGCAGGGGGATGGAGCAGGAGTGACCTGGGGGCATGAAAGAACACTGCAATGGTGTGAGAATGTCTCATGGTTATGTACATTTGGAAGAAAATTGCAGTCCTGCAGCACCTGCTGGCCCTCAGGCATAGGGGAGCATGGACAGCAGGACTGTGTGGCTTGGAGCATCCCTGGAGCACCCAGCTCCACTGCCTAATCCCACAGCCAGCTCCCAAGGGAGGAGAGACGTGCTGGTGGGTGCATTCAGAGCAACTTGCCCTTACCAGCTTTTCCCAGATCCCTCCAATCAAATGCACCACCCCAGGACCAAATCAGCAATCAATCACCATTTTTCTTATTTGCTTAAAAGGGGAGTTACTCTCCTGCTCTGAACAACCTTTCCAGCTGTGGCTTCTTTGCATGGAAACACCCAGCTGCCTTGGTGCCCTCAGCTGCTAATTCCTGCAGGGACACAGTCGATTTAGAGAGGTAGATCTGGGACCTTAGAAGCAGGAGGGCTCCAGGGCGGCTGCCTATCATAGGCATCACTGCCTTTCTGCCCAGGATGATGCAGTGAACAAAGCTGCCTTCCCTGGGCCTCTGCCATCCTGCACTGGACAGGGCTGCTGGAGGATGGAGCAGGGAAGCATCCCAAAAATTCCAAGAAGCTTTTGGAAAAGAAAAGACTATGAAGACAGATGGGAATTTACAGGCCAGCACCCCAGGTGGGATCTGAGTGCCTTCTCCAGTATGCTGCCATCATGAGAAGGTTTAAGGACCTGATTTATAGATGCCTAAATAAATACATGGAACTAATATATCACAATACAGTGAGTATTTATCCATTTTGCAGGGGGAGTGGGATGGAAGTAGAAGGCAGCGTCTCTTTTAAGGCCATCCCTGCTGTAATTCATGCCCCGAGGCGACCTGCCAAGGGGAGGAGAAAGAATTCTGCAGGCAGCAGTATTGATGGGCTACTCCTAGCAGCTTTGTTTTAATTAATTTCCAAAGTGCTCCTTGTAGTGGATCAGGCAGCTCCTTCAAAGCCTCCTTCCACCCGCTGCTGCCTGTGCTCTTGTGCTGTGCCAGCGTGGGGTCTGGGGTAGTGGGGTGTGCCTGGGAGCATCTCTGCTCCTTCAAGCCCCCAGGCTTTTTTGGTTAAAAAGTGCAGAAGTGGTTGCTGCTTTTAAGCAGGGGGGGATTCCCCCTGGCCAAGGGGCCTCTTTGATGCTCACAGCATGGGCAAGCATATTTGTCAGGGCTTTTCTCTTCCCCTTTTTATTGACTTTCTGCTTGTTCCTGCTGCCAGGGGTCAGCTGGGGCGTTGGCTGGACTTTGCCAAAAGTCCACCCAAACCAGCCGGTTCCCAGGTGCTGACGCAGGGCCCTGCCCCTAAGATACAAGGGGTTTGAGCTCTGGGTTTGCAGCCTAGTTGGGTGTGTGGTGGTGGGGCTGGGAAGGGCTGGGAAGGCTGAGTAAGCGGGTTTGTGAACCTGGACTGCATTTGCCCTGCATCCAGTAAGGTGAGAGCAGTAACTGCAGCTCAGCGCCGAATTTGGAGGTGTCTTGGCTGACATGGAGGGACCTGTCCCCATCCAGGACGCCATGCTGACCGACACGGAGCCCTCCAACACCATCAAACTGCTGCACCTGCTTTTCCTCTCCACGTCCTGGGGAATGCAGATCTGGGTGACCTTTGTGGCCGGTAGGTTGGGGTCTGTGTGCACTGCTGTGGCTCTCTGCCCAGGTGGGAGGCCCAGGGGAGGGGGCTTTGCCCCAGGACCTATCTGCTCTCCCCCCTTGCAGGGTTTGTGATGAGCAGACACCTCCCTCGCCACACCTTCGGCTCCATCCAGCGTGAGCTCTTCCCCTACTACTTCCACATCAGCTCCACTTGTGCCTTCCTCAACTTGACTCTGTTTGCCATGTGCCACCCCAGCGAGCGCCTCAGCGAGGAACACACGACCCAGGTAGCCGCCTCCCCCTCTCAAACACTAGCTGGCTGTAGCCCAAACCCCTTCCTCTGCAGGGTCCCACCCTGCTCTGCTCCACTGAGGCTGGTTTGCACACCGTGTGAGCTCCACACGTGGCTCTGGTTAAAGAAAGCAGTTAGCACCCAGATTGCACAGTGAGCCTTGTGTGCAAGAGGGGCTGGGGGAGAAATTTAACCCACAACACGTGCGGGATATTCACAGTGGGCTTTGCTCCCCTGCAGATCATCCTCTTCTTCGTTTGCATCGCTGCTTCTGTGCTGAACACACAGTGCTTCGGGCAGGTCACCTCCGACATCGTGGCAGACCTGCACGCCGTGGAGCGCAGCCACGGCCTCGGCCACGAGGTCGGGCTGGTGGCCAGCGAGTCCCGCAGGAACCTGCGAGCCTCCAACCCCAGCTACAGGCAGCTGTGCCGGCAGTTTGCCCTCTACCATGCTCTGTCCTCCCTCTGCAACCTCTGCTGCGTCGTGTGCAATGGCCTGAGCCTGTACCACCTGGCTGCCAAACTCTCTGCCCTGTGAGGGCAGGGCACTGCGAGGCGATCGATGGCTGCCTGGCCAGAACCAGCATACTGTGAAAAGCGAGCCATCCTGCTGCCTTGCTGTGAAGTAACTCTGAGGTTGGGAGACTAAATTGCAGCATCCTCAGGTGGAGATACTCTTACTGTATTTGGGCATGGTGCAGAAACTCAGGAATAGCGAAATGGAAATGCTCTCTCTGCAGCTGTCTGAAGGCAGCCTCCGTGATCTAAGCAGGAGTGTTTATGGCTCAACAGCTTTCTTAATGCCCTCTGCATTAGCTGTGTTTAAAACTGCAGTGTATTTCTGCAGTCACAGAGAGACTGCAGAAGAGAAAGAAATGAGATTTAGAATTACTTTTAATTAAAAGCTGAAAGCTAGTAGAGAAGCACAGAAGACCCTGTATGTTGGCTGTATCAGTTAGTGTAATGGATAAGGTTGTTACGTTAGTGTTTACAATTACTGTTTGCCACTCTCTTCCAGTACTTCATGAGGTGAAAAAAAATATTGTCTCATTCATTAGGCAGAAGTCAGTCTAGTTAAAATAGCCATGTTTATTCCAGGTTCTGTAATACAATCAGTAGAGTAGCAAAAGGCTCAATAAAACACTGCTCCAAACCAGGAGCTCTGCTGTACCTTGGCCAGCAGCAGAGCCAAGCAGTGACAAAACAGCAGCTGCTGGATCCCAGGCAGGGACTTGATTGCATCCGCCCTGCTGCAACAGGCAGGTACTGCCCCAGCCCACTTGCTGTTAAACCCCAGCAACTACAGCCCACCTCTGAGGAAATCTGTGATTCTTCTCAGGTAAGGAACTGCATTTCCAGCTGCTGTTGCTGAAACCACAGCCAGTGTTTGGCACTGCATCAGGTTTATTTCAAAACCACATGCAGCCTATCATAGAGGAGACCTTCTGCAAGCCAGCTGGGTTTCTTTTCAAACAAATAATCCCCTCATGTAAGCCCTTCATTCTCCTATGCTGCTTTCCTGGAAGTTTCCCCATGTGCCAAGATTATTCCTCTTCCCTGAAGTGTGCAAGGTATTTTTGTTCAAGCAGAAGTTTGCAGCCTGTAGCTGGGCTAATGAACAGCAGCCTCTGGCGCAGGAGTCCTCGTTTCACTCTTGCTCATTACAGTCGATGCACCTTCTTCCCAGAGAAGTATTTCTTAGAGAAAGGAGAACGCTTCACAAATACCAAAACTGTTGGAGTCCCAGCCTTTACAAAATACCTGCAAAGATTAAAAGGACTCCTTTGCTTCCTTGTAGTTGGGCAAGTGTCCTGCAAATCAAGTGACTTTCACCCTGCTCCATAAAGACTGACCCTCCCCAAGGCCAGTGATGAGCTTTTGTGCAGATTAGCAGAGCCTCTTGGAGTAGGGGCTAAGCACATCTGAGGAGGAGTGTTTTATGAGTCAGCTCCTCTCCCAACAGCTACTTTTAATTAAAGCAGCTGTTATTCTCCCTCTGGAAGGAGGTGTCTCTTGCAACTGCCCTTACAGCCTGAAATCTGAGGGCTTGTGCACGCTGCTGAGTTTTATGGAGTGACAGCTTGGCCAGAGCCTGCAGCAGCGACCGAGATCCCACTGCAACAGCCCGTGCTGTGCAGCAGCTTCCTCCAGCTATGAGACGGTGCAACTTAACAGCATAGGCTTCACAATAACTTTTTGGCTTTACTAACAGCAAATTCTTCTCTCTCAATAACTGCACAACACTTTAAAGCCAGTTTCAGAGGGGAACAGTGCTGCATGCTGTGTCGGGGGCTGCTCACACAGCATTATGAACAGTGAGAGCATTGTTAACCTTCAACATGCTCTTATAGGCTGTTGCCTTTTTTTTTTTTTTTTTTAAAGTAGTACTGTGTAGATGGGATCTGGAACAGCCCTTTTGTGCTGCTCAGCTGTTCCCAGTTCCTCTTCCCATCTCCATCCAGACCTGGAAAGAGTTGTTCATTTTTTTGTGGGGGAAAACATATGTAAGTCACTAAAGCCAGGCACAAAATCCATGCAGCCTTACTGCTTTAAACCTTTAAGATGAAGGACTATTAAATCAGAGAAGAGTTAGAACTAATAAATAACAAACTGGACTTAAAACCCAAAGCTCCTACTTTTTGCCTTTTTTTCTTTGGACATGGACTGGTACAGCCTCACCTTTCGTGCTGCAGCACTTGTAGCAATGTGTGTTCTGGGTTCACCTCGTACATTTCTTCTCTTTCTTCATCTTCAAAATAGAGCTGAAAAAGGTTTTGGAGGGTTATTAAATGCCTAAAGGTACGTGAGGAAAAGTACTGGGCTTTCAACAGTTTAGTAGCAGCGCACCGTTATCAACCGGAGGTTTATCAAACCGCTGTAGCTTGAGCCCACCATGCCAGGTGCTAAACTCAGTGATGAAGAAACTGATCTGTGCAAATTCCAAGTCTTTCCTGTATAAACCAGCTTAGCTTCTGGCAGTAGCAGCAGGAAGGCAAAATACACTGGCTGTTCTTGTGCTTTACAGAGAAGCAATCCAAACCTAATGGCTGCTTTTCAACAGGTGAAACCCAGCGATGTTATGAAATAAATTGAGTAATTTTAAAGGTATTTGAAGAAAAAAGAGTTGATTTAAGCGATTCAAATCCAGCAACGGTGTCTTAGACTGTAAATACATATGGAAAAGTACACAGCCATTGTCCTTTTGGACCTGTCTGCTCACTGTACAAAGGGCTGTACTGCTGCCTGGCACAGATGACAGTGAAGTGAAAAATGAAAAATAAACATCTGTATCCTCCTATGAACCATTTCAGAAAAACTTTCAAAACCTACTGCAGCCACAACCAACTCACAACCCACCTTTGCTAAAGTGTTAATAGAGATATATTATCGTGATGCGATTATGTGCTTATGTACACCTCAAGTCAGCTCTGAAAATAAACTATTTTTTAAATAGTATTTTCTCATTTGTATTCAGCAACTCCACAATGCAGTCAAAAAACCAGGCAGCCTATCAGCTTGATGGTCTAAACCTTAATTATTGTTACAAAGATGTGATCTAGCAATATGTCTAAATACCTTCTATCGAATACAATGTAAGTGGAAAACAAATGAACTTTAATTTGCATTAGTGAATTCTGTCAGCACACCTGGTAAATATTTGTGTTTATAAGTGAATGCAGCTCTCCAGATCCTTGTTTCACATCTGTGAATAGTAAACAGGTAAACAAATCATACCCTCAAAGCTGTGTATTTTCTCACCCCAGAAAAAAACCCCAAACAAACCAACCCACAACACAACAACCCTGAAATTGAAGGAAAGTCAAACTTTTCACCTCAAGATTGCTGGGAAGGTATTTTCTTTCTAAATCCCAAGGAGGTAACTCAGCAAACATCACCATTAAATGATCAATAAACCTAAAAGCCAAAATACACTTGGTGAGCTTTGACAGACTGTTCAGCTTCAATCATTTGTACACTTGCATTGAATGATGGTAAAAATACATTAGCAAATTAGACAACAGACTTGAAAGTTAACTTTAGATCACTAACAGTTTCTTCCCTTCAAACTCATCACTTTCCCAGTGAATCCAAGGCCATATTGTGACTCAGGCTATCAGTTTCAAATTTGAGTAGTGCAACAACAAATTATTTTTAACTTTACATTTTCACACTGAAAAAGATGTCAAAATAAACACCCTGCATTTTATCTAAAATGGATTTTCCTTCTTCTTGGTTCCATTAGAGTGATGAGTATATGTTTGTGTGTCAGAGACTTGTTTATTTTGGTACTTGAGGAGTGTTGGAGGCCAATTTGTTCTAAAAAGCCATTTCCACTTCCTTTGGTCATGAAAAAGTGTAGTGAACACTATCATGTAAGTACTACAACTTTAGTAACCTGCTTGCACTGTAATTTTAAGTTCCAAACTTAATAAGAGATCTGAGGAATATGTATTCCAGAAAAAAAAAAAGTTACAAATTCCAAGTTTGTAAGATCATTGTATCATTACATCTTCCATTGTAAGATCAGAAATGGAAATTAATATCAAGAAAAGTGGAATTCCCACCTTGCCAGTCACTTGCTTATAGTCTGAAAGGCCTGCAGCAGTTCAGTCAGGTCTGCTGAAAGCCCTAAGAAGAACTGTGAGGTCACTGGTGGTTATAAGAGGTCCCTTTTGGAAGCTTTTAATGCTTTTTAAGTTTAATCTGTTGATCTGAGACCCCACATTTGGTGGGCTTTGAAACAGCCCCTTAATAAATCTCTAGAATCCACACGTGTGGATGGGTCACAGATATTACTGTCCACTAATTAATTACAGGTCTAAGCTTGCACTGCAAGCCCCTTGATCACCCTGGCAAAATGTATTTGTCTGCGCTATGAATTTATATAAATCATGGAATAGTTTCAGGTTGGAGAGGACCTCAGAAGGTCATCTAATGCAACCTCCTGCTGAAAAGAAGGGTCAGCTCTGCAATTAGAAATCCAAAATCACTTCATCAGCATGGCAGTGTCTCACTTGCTGTCTGTTCTCATCTGCTCAAACACCTCCCTTATGCAAGAATTCTGCTGACAGTGCATTTACCTGGAGTTCTCATGAAAAGCCACAGTGAAATCTGTCTGCTCGTGCTCAGGGTACAGAAAGAGGACAGGCCAGTTCAGGTTGCCATCAGCATCTAAATGCACCTTTGCTCCTGTGGCATTGTCAGAGTGGAACCCATCTAAGGATATCTCAGCCAGGCCATCCGATATTTCCTCTTCTTCATTTGAAGGCTCAAGAACCAGCTTGATATTTCTTTCCTGGAGGGAAGGGAGGGGAAAAAACTAAAAAAATCAACCAAAAGCCAAACAGATATGGCAGAGAGAATAAGAGCAAAAAACTACCAGGAAGTAAAAGGTCAAATTGTGTTGTTCTTAATGAGTCAGCTCTTAAACATGCCATCAAAAGCTTTCCCATAGTATCAGACTCAAGGGACTGGTCTTCCCAGGAGAATCCAGAACCTCAGCCAGGTATCCAGATACCTCATGGAATGGGTGAGGAGAGGTGGCAATCCAGAGGAGCCCACACACTGAGAGAAGAGCCTGAGAAAATGTGTGGAAAGTGATGGATCTAAAATCCTTTTCTTTGGAACCTTCCAGGCATCACTTCAGGATGCAACTGCACACACCAGCTCCTGAGAGCATCCACTGCTTCAGAAAACTGAAAAAAGATCAGTCTTTTCCTTGGAAATCTGACTTCATGTAATAGCCCAAAATATTTTAATGTAGCCCAAACATTCAATGAGGTAGGAGAGGATCTGGGATTGATTCCCTCCTCCACCCTATTGAATGTTTATCTTCTACCCTTCCACTGAAGAAATGCCAATGGGAAGCAAAGAAAGCAAGGTTCCTTGGGCTAGTGTCATGCTACAGCCCAGCAGCCAGAGCACTCACAAAGCTCAGTCCATCTCCTAACACTGGGTTTGTATTTTGCCTTAGTTGTTGCCCGAATTATGGAAACCTGGAAGCTGCAGTCAGAGATAAGGAGAATTATGGTTTTAGCTCCTTTTTTTTTGGCTCTAGCTCTCAAAAGCCCTCTAAAGCAAAATAACAAACTTTTAGAGACAAACAAGAGAGCTCTTAAAAAAAAATCCCAAGCCACACAAAGCCAGCCCCTCTCAGCGACCCACCTTTATTGCTGCAAGCAAGATATCCCTCTGACACTTCTCTTTCTTCTCCATCACCTTTGCTTTCCTTGCATCCCGCTCCTCAGCTCGCTACATGTAAGAAAAGGTTGCACCATGGTCACACACAGCAAATCAATGCTCATCACTGCTCTACCCTGACAAGGGGTGGAGAAATCAGTTTGGGTATCCAGAAGGGTCCCCTCCAGCTCCTTCTCCTACACAGCTCAACACACACCACGTAGAGCCACCACTCAATTCTCTGTGGGGATATTACACTACACAGAAACCTGTGTGGAGCACTCTTCAACCAAGGACCCCAAAGTGATTCTTGACACAAAGCAGAAGACAAGCACTGCAGATGCCAGACTGCCTTAATATCTACCTTTAATTTGCCAGCTTTAACTCTTGTTTCCAGAAGCTTTTTCTCTGTTGGATCTATTCGCAAGCCCTCCTCACACCATGCTATTGCTTCAGAGAAATTCTTCAGCTCCATGTGACAGAGTGCTCCTGGAAGGATTAAGATTTTAAATCTGGAGTCAGTGTAAAACTACTACACAAAGTGATGGTTATAAAGACAGCATTAGGCCTGGGGCTTTTGCACTACAGTTTTTTGTCTTGCATGGTCATGTTCAATCACAGACTTCCAGCAGGTCAGCTGAGAAGAAAAATCTAAAATATTTTGTCAGTTCTTGTATTGTTTGCTCATGTGGTCACAGAAATTATAAGAATTATTCTAGAAGTGTCTGTTACAAGCAAAATGTTATCATAATTAACATTTCAGTATTTGTCTGGTAAGGAAAAATAAAAGGAGAATTTCCATAGAGTGAGAAATGCTGGGGAGAAAAACACAAACACACCCCAAAAACTAGTATTATGGAAAACAGGAAAAGTTAGGCTGTGCTCTACAGAAACAAGTTCAGTGCCTCTTTGACAGAGAGAGAAATTGAAGAGCAAAGGCTACTATTTTGACTGAAAATCTGAAGAAAAACCCAGAGCTCTGTTTTATGGAGAAACACCAATAACAAAACAAGTGATGAGATCTCTTACAGTAACTGCTTTACCTTTCTGAAATTAATTCTGTCCAGAAACAAAGTATGATCCTCACTCACAGTAATTTAATGCTTATGAACACAATTATTAAACACGCAGTAACACGCAAGGAAACAAAGCAACATCTAACAGCAGCCTGTTTCAGGGCTTGTAACAATAACAGTACAATAAGTAAAGCTAACATGTGCCAAGTGTTTTGGAACCCTGTTTCTTACACTCCATGAAGCAACATGACCTTTAACTCTTACCTCTTATGACTGCTTTGAGATGGGTGGGCTTTAGCTTTTTGGCTTGGATGGCATCATTGAGAGCAGAACGGTAGTTACCTACAAAGCAAGTAAAACTGCTCAGAACCTTGCATTTATATTTAAAATCCAACCAGACACCAAGGTGACAAAACAATTTATGCAGAGACCCTATATTTCACTGTTTCTACAATTCACTGTGAGGTGAGAAGAAGATAAAAAGGAGTAACCTGGGGGCAAAAAGTGAAAGGACAGGAATCAAACACACAGGTGAGGGATAAGTAACATTTCCCTACTGCAACACACAACAGCATTAAAAAACCAAGAACACCTTCCTTGCTGTGCAGATGCTGTTGGTAGGATGCGTGGTAGCTGTAAGAGATCAGCTTTGTGACCACCTGAGGAACCTGGACATACACAGGTCCATGGGACCTGACAAGATGCATCTCAGGGTCCTGAGGGAACTGGCTGATGTAGTTGCCAAGTCACTCTCCACGATATTTGAAAAGTCATGGCAGTCAAGTTAAGTGCCAGGTGACCAGAAAAAGGGAAACTTTGCACCAATTTTTAAAAGGGATAGAAAGGAGGACCCTGGGAACTACCAACCTGTCAGCCTCACCTCTGTGCCTGGGAAGACCATGGAACACATACTCCTAGAAGTTGTGCCAAGGCACATGGAGCCCAGAAAGCCAACCATGTCCTGGGCTGCATCAAAAGCAGCACTGGCAGCAGGTGGAGGGAGGAGATTCTGCCCCTCTACTCTGCTCTCATGAGATTCCACCTGGAGTACTGCATCCAGCTCTGGGGTTCTCAGCACAGGAAAAGACATGGACATGCTGGGAGTGAGTCCAGAGCAGGCCACAAAAATGATCAGAGGGCTGAGCACTTCTCCTATAAAACCAGGCTGAGAGAGTTGGGGTTGCTCAGCCTGGAGAAGAGAAGGCTCTAAGGAGACCTTAGTGCACCCTTTCAGTACTTAAGGGGGGGCCTACAAGAAAGATGAGGACAAACTTTTTAGCAGAGCTTGTTGCGTAGGAAAGAGTCATGGTTTTAAACTAAATGAGGGTAGACTTAGATTAGATATGATGAAGACATTTTTTACAATGAGGGTGGTCAGGCACTGGTATATGTTGCCCAGAGATGTGGTAGAAGCCACATTCCTGGATCCCTGGAAACATTCAAGGCCAGGTTAGATGGGGCTCTGAGCAAACTGATGTAGTTGAAGATGCTGCTGCTCATTGCAGAGGGATTGGACTAGATGTCCTTAAAAGGTCCCTTCCAACTCAAACCATTCTATGATTCTAAAAAAACCACCGGCTTTGCCCTCTCCTGGAGCCAAGGCTCAAGCAGCAGGTCATAGCTGCAATGAACAGAGCACAGATCGTACACGCAGCCATGCTCTGAAGTGAACCAGGTCTTCAGGTGCATTTTTCTCATGAATAAGCTACTTAGTCTGTTGTATCACCAAAAAAAAATAGGGGTGGGTGGAAGGAAAATGGAGAGGAAAAACAGCGCAGAGCCCCATTCCCATCCCAGCTGGAGCTGGCACAGGTCCCTCACCCAGGTGGAAGTGTGCGGCCCCCCGGTTCGTGAGCAGCACCGCGTTCAGCTCGGGGTCCTCGCACTTCTTCCGCAGCCCCTCGGAATAGGCGGCGACCGCTCTCCCGTAGTCCTTCTCCTTGAAGTACTCGTTCCCTTCGTTCTTGTACATCCTGGCCAGCTCTGCGGGGACGGAGGGGGGTGAGGGCTGAGCGGGGGCGCCCCCAGGACATGCCCAGCACCCCCGCGCGGTGCCCACCTGCGGGGCTCTGCTCCTCGTCGAAGAGCAGCGACTGCAGGCAGGCGAGCTCGGGCTGCCGCGCCGCGTCGATGTCGGCCGGGCAGCGCTTCATGAACATGGGGATGGCCTCCAGCTCCTGCGGACGGATGGGCACGGACACACACACACTCACACACATGGCGCCCTCAGCTCAGCTCGGCTGGGCTAGGCTCGGCTTGGCTCGGCTTAGCTCAGCTCGGCCCCCCCGGCCCCGCCGCCTCACCTGCTCCCACGTGTCGGGATGCAGCGCGCCCCGGTACCGCGGCGGTCCTGGCACCCCAGACCCGTCACCCTGCCCGTCCTCCGCCATCGTGCTGCTGCCTGGCCCCGCCTGCGACCGCCCCCGCCGCCTCCGGCCCGGCCCCGCCGCTTCCGATCGCCCCGGCATCCGACCGCCCCCTGCTCCGTCCGACCGCCCCCGCTCCTTCCGACCGCCCCCCTCTCCTTCCGACCGCCCCCCGCTCCTTCCGACCGCCCCGGCATCCGACCGCCCCCTGCTCCGTCCGACCGCCCCCGCTCCATCCGACCGCCCCCCGCTCCTTCCGACCGCCCCCCGCTCCTTCCGACCGCCCCCCGCTCCTTCCGACCGCACCCCGGCTCCTTCCGACCGCCCTCTGCTCCGTCCGACCGCCCTCTGCTCCGTCCGACCGCCCCCCGCTCCATCCGACCGCCCCCCACTGCAGCCCCGCTCTCCACTGCACCTTTAGCCGTCACCTCCCGTGGGGATGGATGGCAGGAAGAGCTGATCCCGCCTGGAACAATCGGGAGGAGGCCGAGGTGATCGCCCCGGCCGGCAGCACGTGGAGAGCTGGGGAAGGGTCTGGAGCACCAGGAGTGGCTGAGGGAGCTGGGGGGACTCAGCCTGAAGGCTCAGGGGGAACTTTGTTGCTTTCTAAAACTGCCTGAAAGGAGGTGGGAGTCGGTCTCTACTCCCTTGTAACAAGTGACAGGACAAGAGGAAACAGCCTGAAGCTGCACCAGAGGAGGTTTAGACTGGATATTAGGGAAAATTTCCTCACTGAAAGCATTGTCAGGCATTGGAACAGGCTGCTCAGGGCAGTGGTGGAATCACCATCCCTGAAGGGATTTAAGGGACACGTGGATGTGGCACTTGGGGACATGGGTTAGTGGTGGGTTCGCAGTGCTGGGTTAATGGGTGAACTTGATGATCTTAAAGGTCTTTTCCAACCTAACTAATTCCATGATTCTCTGACAGGGGCATCTCTGTTGCTCATGATCTCTCATGACCCTGGAGCTGCATCACAGGCAAAGTGGCTCCCTCCAATGAACTCTGTGCAGGAGAGGCTCATGGGGTGATGGCACCAGTCATGACTGCTGGGATGGTAGCAAACTGTTCCTTATGGGAGCCACCAGGCCTGGCACAGGCAACCCCCACCCTCATGGATCCTATGTATCTCCAAAGAGAAGATGCAGAGGAAAGGGTTTCCTTTCTCTCCCTCTTAAAATCCCTTGTGCTGAGAACTTGGCACATAAAAAAGGTGAAGGGAGCTCTCCCATCCCTCCCTGCAGCCCCAGCCTCGTGTGTGCTCAAAAGAGGCCATGGCCAGCCTGTCAGCCCCAGCTGAGCAGCGAGGGGATGACCCTGCCAGTGCTTCCTCAGCCACACAAGGTTACGTGTGCTGGTAAAAGCAGCTCGCAGGGACCTGTACCCAGAGGGGGTAACATCCCCAGCCCTGTGGGGGGAATGTGGGCTGATTGCTGCTCAGTCTCAGCACCCAGCACTCTTGCAAGACACCATGGCTGGCTCTAATGTGAGCTGGATTTGCCTCTGCTCACCCAGAGCCATCGCCAACATCCTGCATGTCCTTGAAAAGGAACCAGGGCTGTTCGAATATTACCTAGTGCAGCAAAGATGAGAGATTCAGAGACAAGTAATTTAAGGGACTTGCACTTTACTCAGCAACTCAGTGACACCCTCCTTGGTGAGGAACAAAACCTCGCCAGCATTCTGATTCCAAACCTCAAAGACCGGGGGGTCCTCGCAAGCCCTCTTCCCAGCTATGACCACGTAGGGATAGCCCAGCTTGTTGGCATCCTTCAGTCTTTTGCCAATGGTCAGCTGTGTCCTGTCATCCAGCACCGAGTCAGTGGCGAGGTGGGGCAGCGCTTTGGCCAGGTGGTCGTACACTTGCTCCAGCCGTGCCACTCCCTCCTCCTCCTCCTTGCTGCCCCTCTTGGGGGGGATGAAGCAGAGCTGGTAGGGCGCGATGAGGCTCGGCCAGCGGATGCTGTCCTCCGTGGAGAGCACCTCGATGGAGGCCGCCAGGATCCGTGTGACACCCAGGCCGTAGCACCCCATCTGTGCCAGCTGGGGCTTGTTCTCGTGTGAGGAGAAGACGGCGTTGGAGACTGAGGAGTACTTGGTGCCCAGAAAAAACGTGTGCCCCACTTCAATCCCTTTGGTCTTGGTGAGCCTCTCCCCACACGTGGGGCAGGAGGTTTGCTCCCCGTTTAACGTCTCCACGTTGGCTGCAAAATGTCCCTCAGGGCACAGCACAAGCCTGTCCTCGCCGATGTCTGCCGGGAGCTGGAACTCGTGGGACGTGGTGCCGCCGATGCTGCCCGTGGCTGCCTGCACCTTGACGAACGGCAGCCCCAGGCGGCTGAAGAGGCGGCAGTAGGCGTCACACACCTGGCCGTAGGTGTGCCGAGCCGCCTCCTCAGAGGCGTCGAAGGTGTACATGTCCTTCATGTAGAACTCCCGGCTGCGCAACAACCCAAAGCGGGGCTTGGGCTCGTCCCGGAACTTCCTGGTGACCTGGTAGAGGCGCAGCGGGAGCTGCTTGTAGGACAGGCTGCTCTGAGAGGCCACCAGCTCCGTCACCGCCTCCTCGTGCGTGGGGCCCAGGCAGTAGCTGTGGTTGTGCCGGTCCACCAGCCGGAACAGTTCCGGCCCCATCTGGTCCCAGCGGCCGCTGGCGCGCCACGGCTCCGCCGAGCTCAGGCTGGGCAGGTTCAGCTTCTGCCCACCCAGGGCCTGCATCTCCTCGTCCATCACCCTGATGAGCTTCTCCATGGCGCGCACGGTGGGCGGCAGATAGCAGTAGCAGCCGGGGCTGGCGGGGTGGATGAGCCCCCCTTGCAGCATCAGGCGCTGGCTGCGGCACGTGGGCTCCCCAGGCCTGCCCTCCCACCCCGCCTCGCTGTCCACCGGCAGCGACAGGGGCTGGAAGAGCTGCGAGAGGAGCAGCCACCTGGGCCTGCCTGGGGCACTGCTGTGCCGGGGCCTGACGGGCTGGGGGGTGCCCAGCACAGGGAGGCAGCATCTTCTGAGCAAGGCCTCCATGGTGCTGCTGGAGAGGGCCCGGAGCCTGCAGAGGGAGAGCGGGACAGAGCAGGGTCAGCACTGCTGGGACACACCACGGGATGTGCTGCTGTCTGCAGCCACCCTGACACCCACCCGCAGTGCAGCACAGAGGTAACCACACACTGCTGCACACACAGCCAGGTGCACACACCCACACGCCTTCAGGGATACACAGGTACCCTTACACGGGCTCGTGAATGCATCACGGGCACACACACACACGTACACATGTGCACGGCTTCCAGGTACCCCCTCACGGACACACGAGTGCTGCACAGGCACACCTACGTGCATTCACACACAGCCTCTGCACTCCTGGGATGTGCAGATACTCCTACAAGAACACGTGGGAACGCTGCAAGGGCACACCTGCACACGTGTGCACATACACACACACACACAAAAGCACCCTCGCCCCCATCTCTTCTGGGTGTACAGGTACACCTACACGGACACATGTGAATGCCTCACGGGCACACCTACACACGTGTGCGTGTGCACGCACCCACACCCACACCCCGCACACACCCCCGGGTGCACCCCCTGCACGCCCTCCGGGATGTACAGGTACCCTTGCACGGACACACCTGCACACGTGTCTGCACAAGCACACCCCCCCTGCACACCTTCTGGAGGATGTACAGGTACCCTTGCACAGGCACGCGTGAGTGCTGCACGGGCACACCGACACGCGTGTTCTCACACACATACGCGTGTTCTCTCACACACACACACGTGTGTATATTTATATACACACACACTCACACACACGTGTGTATATATATACACACACACTCGCACACTCACACACACTTACACCCGGCGGCGCAGTCACTGGGAGCCCCTCCCTCTCACGTGGGACGCGGGCGAGGCGCCCCGCACTCTATGGTTCCGCCGGTGGGGCGCGGGCGCCCCCTGCCGGCCGGGCGGAGCGGCTGCAGCGACGGGCGGGGGGGGGCACGGGTACCGGGTCTGGCACGGCCGGGATGCCTAATTAACCCTGTCTTAATTAACAAGGGTTTAGGAAACTGAGAATATCCTGACGGCTCATGGGACAGACAGCCACTGCTGGCTGAGAGGGATAGGGGCCGCTCATCCATCCAGCCCTTGACCTTCATCATCTCAAGGAGCACCTTCACCATCTCCGTCCTCTCCCGGAGGTCATGGCTCTGGAGGGCTTGGTCACCTCCAGAGGGTGGTTGTGGCAGACCACTCTCAGCTCCAGCTGCAGGTGCCGGCTGGGAATTTCTCATCTTTCCTAACTCCTGGAGCCACATTGCCCACTTGGATGGCCCGCCTGCAGCATTCAGTGGCGAGTGTTTTCTGGGTTGTGAGCCCTTTGTCCCTGAAGAGCTGCAGTTCGGGAATGGCATCACCCACGTCAAACTCCATGGCTTGGTCCAGGAGTTTCATCCCCCAGGAACAGTTCTTGCACAGGTTTTGCCCCTTGTAAACAGGAATGCACATGAGGATTTCCCATCATAGAAGAATTGTAAAGATTTCTTCAAATTACATCTTTAAATAAAATAAGGATTCATTCTTACTTCCCTATACTTAAACAAGATAATTTAACTACTCAGTGAAGTGAAATCTCCTCCTCCAGTGGAGTACTTTACTATGTGCTTACAGCTGCTCTCAGAGGTGAGGGAAGAGGCTGAAAAGTGCAGTGTGGAGGTCACTGGGTGCCAGGCAATGTGTGTCTGCCAGACTGGTTAGCAGAAAGCTGAAAAGAGGTAAGAAAAAGGCTTTTGATTCTCAGCCCTCCTTCAGGCACACTCCAAGTGGTTCTGTCGCTGAACACATTGGGACATGCTGCCCCGAAGACTGAGCCAGCAAGGGGGAGTAGATGGGGTTGTTGCTTTCAAGGATCCATTTTGTCCTGCCCCGCCTCTGTTTACTACTTTTCACTATTACATGAGGGTAGCAACTTGCCTCCCAGACCAGCCTTCACTGGTTTTGTCAGGCAATTCTTCCTACGTGTTTCCCACCACAATTAGACAGGCAATGCAAACACTGCCGGGGAGAAGCGCTGTGGCTGCCTGGGAGGCTGGAGGAGCAGGGTGGATCCCTGCGGTATCTGCTCACACCTCTGGACACCCAGCACACTGTGCTGGCCCCAAGCAGGACTTACCTGCACCTGCCAGCTGAGCTGTCTCACAGGACCTCCAGTGCCACATTGCATATCCTTTTGGCCATCTCCCGCTTGCCCAGGAAGTGGAAGATTTTCACCAGGCAGTTCGGGATGGGAGGGTTGTCTCCATTTCTATTGCCTGTTGGAGCCAGAGAGGTGAAACACATTTCCATCAGTGACTTATTGCCTGCTGTGCTGATCAAAGGGACAAAACCATCTTGGATTGATTCGCTGGGGCAGCATTTTAACCAGGAGGGTTTAAGGCTATTCAGGATATGTGGTCTGTGGGGAAAGCTGATCTCTTATTAAATCAGCAGACAGGAGTGAATGCGGGGCTCAGCTTGGGGGTTATGTGCCTGAAAGCCTCTCTGTGATCCTTATTTTTTCCAGCTGTGCTGGGGGAACCTAATAAAGGTACTGCTGCCCCTGCAGCCTTTCACCAAACTGCTCACCCGCTGCTCTGGTAGGGCTGATTTATGCCATTGAGGCCAAACAAGAGTGGCCTGAGAGGGGTGTGCTGTGCACATGTCTGTCTGGGGCCTCCTCTCTTTGCCCTGTGGGATTTCAGAGAGTAAAATTGCTGAGGATCGGGGGAAGATGAAGGAAAGACAGAGTAGGCAGTGGCAGCTGCCTGGAATCAGTCCCTGGCACAGTTCCTCGCCAAAGCGATCGAGGGATCTGTGTGAGAGAAGCCACAGTCCTGGAACCCCACTGGGTGGTGGAAAAGTCCCTTCCCTTTCCTGTAGCATACCCAGGGAGCACCAGGCAAGGTCTAGGGAGGAGAAGTAAGGGAAGGCAAGAGGCCAAGTCATTCAGTGGCTGAACCTGCAGTTTGGTCTTGGGGTTGGCACAGAGAGGTGGCACATCCCATCTGGCCCTGGACATGCTCTTACACAACCTGTAGGGTCCGTGAGCCCTGCGCTGTCTCACACACCTGGCTCACTAATGTCATTCCCTCCAGTGGTGTTACTGTAACTGCACAAATGCAGGACAATGTTTTTATGCCCACTGGAGTGGGGTTACTGGAGTGGTTATAGGTCCTGTCATTTATTCACCTCTTGTGAAGTTACTCCACACCCCCTGCACCCTGGCAGCTACCCAAGGTAACCTTTGGGTGCTTTCAGACAGCTCCCCCTGAGCAGACAACAGTTTCTATTACAACGAGGATCCCCACCTTGACTCTGCTGTTTTCCAGTCCTGTCTGCAAAGGCAAAGGGACATTCCCTGGGGAACCGCGGTGCTGGGTGCCACAGTGATGGTTGCCATGGCAAGGGCTTTCACCATTACCACAGTCCTTGGGGACTAGAGCTGCCGGGATGTGGCTACAGGCATGGCCAGGGGACACAGGCAGTAAGGTCAGGGCTGCATGTGTGGAGAGAGCTGGACTTAGCCATGTAGCTCCCCTCACCTCCCAGACTGACTGTGCCTGCTGGGAAGCAGCTTCTTGCACAGGGACATTTGCACAGGACAGTCTGGGATACCCAGCTCAAGCTGGGAGCACCTTGGGGTGGAAGCCTGGGAGGTGGGCTGCTCACACTGAGCACCCACTGCCCTTAGGCAGGGAAGCTTAGCAGGAGCTCAGCAATGACCACATTACCTCTGCCTGCATCCTCAGGCCTTTGCCCTTTTCAGGGGATGTTTGGACAGCCCTTCCCATTAGTTTTGCTCTGCTTCAGCTGCAAGCAAGCAGATGCACTTCATGGATGAAAGCAGCTGAGTTTGAGTCCTTTTAGGTGCCAAGAGCTCCTTGCATCCTCAAAAAAGTCACATTCTGCTGCTTGAAAGCCAGTTTTTCCTCTAGCAGCATCAGCAGCACATTGCAGAGCCTGTTCAGGTAGGAGTTCTTGCCATAGTACCCATTCCTGGAGTTGTATTCATCTTGGCAGCTTCCCCATGGAGAACCAGAACAAAGCCTAAAAGGCTCAAAGCAGACAGGGAAAGCTTTAGTCTGAAATAGTCTAGGGGGCTAGGGAGGAGCAGCAGGAAGCCACGTGGATTCTCTCCTTTATTCAGCAGAGTGAGGAACAGGCAACTTGAAAGAGGTCAAGGATGAAAACACCTTCGTAATTGGTGGGGAACTTTCAGATCACATTTGAGTGGGGAGGTTGTGACATGGCCGCCCTTCACTGCAGCTGGCAGTAGATGACTGGTGAGTGTGCTCGAGCCCAGAGAGATAATCGACTCTTTACGGCCCACTGTGGCCAGAACTGCTGGTGGAGGTCACTGACTGGTTACTGTGTGCTCTCCTCCCTCCCCTACAGTACAGGCTTGGTTTGGACAGGATGCGCCACATGTTGTTGTATCAGTTGCCAAGCTGAGCGGCTCTGGTGCTGGCAGAGTTGTCAGGAGAACACTTTGGGGTGGTGCATGGGGGATTTCCCAACCTAGGGGAACCTCAGTGGGAACTGAGAGCTGCCAGGAGCCCCCAGCTCATGAGTCAGTGGCTAAGAAGACCTGGGCAGGGCTAGGAGCAAGGGCAAGAGAGAAAGACTGCTGGAATTGCACCACATCTTCCCTGCGGTAGGGCTGACAGGCAGACAGGATGCACGACACAGAGGATTCCCTGTCCTCTGAATGCAGTGACTTAAAGGACAGGGGGCAATGACACTGCAACTGGTGTCAGACGGGACAAATGTGTAATTGAAGCACTGGATTAGGACTGAGAAACACTCGGCATCCCCACTGCAGGTTCCCTCTGTGGACAGGGAGGTTGGCATTGCCACATCTCTCCCTCCCAGGAAAGTGAGGAGACCTTGGTGCTTCCCCACCCTGCAGGGTTAGCGGGAGGGTTAAAGAACAGCTAGCTCTCAAGGAACTTCACAGATGTTGAGGTGGTGGCTGTACCTTGTGAAATGCAATTTTCCTGCAGTGGAGCTGTAGGGAGGTAGTTTCCACTGAGTTAGAGGTAGCTTGGGAAGGAACTGGAAGGTGGATGGATAATCAGGCTGTCTGGACTCATTCCCAGTGCCAGTACTGGACTGCTCAATGGCCCTGAACAAAAATCACCTTCAAGGCTGTGCCTTTGCTTCCCTGCCTGAGAAAGGAAGATAACAAGGCTCTCTGGCTGCAGAGGATTTGAAACCTCCAGCATGAAAACCCTGTGCAGCAGCTGTAAATTAGGCTAATGAGAGACCTCGGGACAGCCCCACACCCTCACCTTCGCTTGTGGGCAGGATTAGTGAACTTGCTGTGGTGGCAGGATGGGCTGACAGCTCTGCAAGGGCTGTCTGCATCTCCAGCAGGTAGGCAGAAATCTGTCTTGGCAAAATATACCTTGGCAGCTTTGAGTGGGGCAGCCAGAAGCTGTCCCATGATGGAGAGGGTACGATGAAATCAGCTTTTAGTACTACCCAGCTTTGTTAATCTGCAAATTCCCACAGGAATAAAAACCCAATCTGAACAGTATGTGGCATCTACAATTCAAACACATCTCTCTGATGAGCACCAGCTCCCAAATCACTTTTCACATTACAGCTGTGCTTTGGAAAATCCCAATCAGAGAATAAATGGCAGAGATGCCAGCAGATGAGGTGGGGTAGATGAAAATACAGCATGCTGGCATCCAAGTTGAGAGATGGGAAACAACTCATGTTCTGTGCTAATAAAACTTTTCTTTATGCAGTCAGCAGTCTAACTTTTCTGACACGTAGTTATTTACACCGTGGACTTTATAGTTGTGACATACTTGAGAAGATGATGCCAGATCCTACACATCCTCCAGCAGAAGATCTGCTAGCACACAGCAGCTCTCTCAGGGTTAAACATGTCCTGTCAAACACTACTGTTACTTAAAGGAGTTGCACATACCTGCTGTGGGTGGTGTTACCTGAGTAGCTCCAGGTCCATCAATGCAACTCCACGGAGAACTGGATCTGAAAAAGTGCAACTGCAGCAAAGCAGAGCAGGCAGTTAAAACCTGGAGGGCAATGGAGAAAGTGAGATGAGCAGAGCTGTCAGTAGTAACAGAGGCTGGCCACAAAAATGTACTCGGAGCACACTGGTTCTCTCAGAGTTAAGTTTTATCAAGTCTTGTACAAGTGTTTAGACCAGACTGGAATAATTAAATTTAGGTGTAATTACATGTTAGTTGTGGCTGATTAAGTATGCTAATTAATCTGCAATTATCATTTGGTGGGGGGAGATAATGGAACACAGGTAAAATTGCAATGATTTAAGGAAATCCTGACTATTGTTCCAGAAGCAAGCAAAGGAGGAAGGAGGACTGAAGGGAAATGCCTGAGCAGTGATGTGGGTGAGGGAGGCTACAGAAATACTGCTGGGGCAATAAAAGAGGGTTGTGAAATGCAGCTGTAAGCCAGGGCCAACACAGAATGTGATTAAAGAAGGGCTTTGGAACCTGAACTGCAGTTTCAGCACGGCGGAGGTACTTGGCAGCCTGGATTTCAGGAGACAGACTGGAAGCTTCTCTCTGGGAAAAGAACACTGGGAGAAGGTGTACCAGCTATGACCAGGGGTGGGGCAGGAACACCTCCCACTGAGCCTACAGAGCTGCCACAAAGGCATTTTAGAGGTGGGTGTGAAATTCCTGAGGCGGAAGAGCACACTGAATCTTCATCCTCCCTTCAGTGGCTGCTCTTTCAAAACAGGGATTAGATTTGTTAGCGTGAAGTGAGAAGAATGAAGGAACTATTCATGTCATTAGGTAGCACCTAAATCCAAAACAGGGGCTTGTCCTCCTTGGACAAAACATCACAGGGATAGAATGAGGCGAGGGTAGGGGGAAGGTCAGGATAATTGGCACCATGAGGCTGTGGAGCTAGGTGGGCGTAACTGAAGGGTTAAGCCTCAGCTATGGGGTGTTTGGTGTAGGTGTGTCTCGGGGCAGAGATAAGTGAAGGCTCACAGACGTCAAAGACATTCCTTCGAAGCAGTTTGCAGCACCAGGGTCCTCATCTCCCACCCATCTCCCAGTGCCTCGGGTCTCTCGCCCAGAGAGCAGCTTTTCTCAGTAATTGCTGACCATGTGTAAAGACACAATAAGCACGAGAGAAATGATAAACAGCTGCTGAAAAGCAAGTAATTACTCATTAAAAGACACCACTTTGAACAGTATGCTGGCCAGAGCTTTATTTTCAACACCCAGTACAACCAAAAATCAAGAGCAACAGCAATTATGTGTGTGCATGTGTGTGACTGATACAGTTGCAGTACTCAATCACGGCATACAAAGTTTGCCAGTAAACTAAGGAGTGAAAAAACAAACACAGTGCATACCTAAAGATCATCAGTACATAAGTGAAACACAGCCTAAGTAGAAGTATTTGCATATCCTCTAGCTGTTTTAACATTGCCCTTTCAAAGCTAACCAAACCACTCTTGCTCTGTGCAGACTATCATACAAGCACTGGGCTAAGTCGTAGCTTTGCCCCAGGGGCAGGAAGGCAGGTCACACCCTGAGAATCAACACTTGCCTTCCAGTGTACCCCTGGTGCAGCCTGGAATGGCATGGCAGACACTCCTGGATCACTGACACAGCTCCATGGCTCGGGCACCACTGCAGACACTCTGCACTGGCTGTGTCTCCCCACGGAATGCTGTCCCTGCCACCAGTCCCCTGCACAAGATTTTGGGGGGTACCTTACTTGCACACGATGTGCATCACTGAGTTACAGCCCAAACTTATTCCTGCTACTGCTTTATCATTGGTTTCATCTGGACCATAAACATCCACCTATCAATAAATAAAATCATTGGTTTAGCACGCATAATAAAATTACACCTCCCACTGGTAACTGTTCAAGAAGTTCTCCATGTTACCCTTACACAAGCCTCAAGAAAAGGACTTTCTTTTCCCTCAAGCTCAGTAAGGTTTCAAGTAACAATTTTCAGTACTGCTTGGACAAGACACGGGCTTGGTTTGGAACCCTGTTTCTGCCTACAGGGTCAAAACATTTCCACACTTCTACACTCAACTGTGTCAAGTCCATGACTGTGCCATTTTCACCTGAGAGCAGCAGAAGAGGGAACTAACAGTACTTGCTGTTGATTTCCTCTCCAGGTGACTGAAACAGTCCTTTTACAAAGCCTATCAACCTAACCCAACTAAAAATGAAAAGCAAAACTGTCACTCGAGTCAGAACCAAAGCCTGTGTGTATCAAGATTCAAATCAAGAGTTCTTATCCACAGCCACTTGTTTTAATAAACCTCGTATGAACGCAGCCTTGACTTCCTTTTCCTACTGGGCCAGGACAGAACCATCTGAAATAAACCACATCTTCCTCCAACTGAGTACTTTTAAGGCACTAAAATTAAGCCACAACCAAAAAACCCCCAAAAAACCAAACCAACCAAGTAAAAAAATCCGAATACACCAACTCACAAGGAAATTAAAATTTGGCTATATGAAATAGCAGCAATTCTTTTCAGTGGTCTACAAAGCCAGAACATTGATACTTTGGGGCAAAAAAACCAATGCACTGTTGGCCAACTACGAAATACCTAAAACCTACACATCCATTCACACTTCATAATCAAAAACAGTACAAATCTGATAGGCACAAGTAAAAAGCATCTTCTTCACACCTCAGTGCTCAGTTTTGAAACAGAAGCCACTGTCAGGGAGCTCAGCTGCCGTGCAGGACACCCCAGGCAGCGCAGCAACACCACCACCACCACCAGCAGCACTGGACAGCCAGCTGGAGGATGATGGAGCCACTGCGGAGCTGCTCTGCAGGATACTGACTGAAGGCAAATGTTTCTAACAACAACATTAATTAGACAATGCTTTGGCACCTATTTCTGAGCCCTCCCCTCCCATTTTCAAAAGTAATGTTAAATAGAGCTATGGTACACAGCTGGTGTAACTCCAGTATCTTCATTCATTCCCGTTACTTTTCTTCTGCTTGGAAATAGGTGAATTCACCTATGTGACTACATTAGATACAAAGGCTAGCACTTAAGATTTCTTAAAAACAATCACTCTGAGTTTGGAAAACTGATTTTAAAACATCTGAAGAAATACTAAACATAAATGTATAAAGCAGGAACTCATACCTTTAAACATCAACAAGAATGAGCTTATTTGGAGAGCAATAAAGCTTTTTTTTTAAAAGGATATACTGACTAGCTATAGGTAAATTCCTCTTTCCCTGATTGCCTGTTTAGTTCAGCCAGGCTCAGTGCCTTGCAGCTTTGCAGATTTTGTCATACACTTCTGGAAAGGCATCCTTGCAATTCATCTGCTCCCTCAGCTTGTGGTACAACGAACCATCAAACATATCCCAGAACTCCTCACGGGTCATATAGCAATCTGCATACAGCATCTGGAAACTGGAGAGCGGGGGGAAAAAAGGGACAGAGATTCAACATTAATTATGCCATAAGATTTGATATAGAATATTAAATAAAAAATTCAGGGCAAGCTATGAACAGCAAATATTCAATAGCAAACCCCATCAAAATGTTTTTTAAAAATAAGCAAGTACAATTGCTCACATGGATTATGCTGGGACACTCAGCCAACTATATTTTGTGGATTTAACATTAAGATGATCTCTTTTCCAAGAGGAAATAACATGTAAGGGTAAAAACAGCAGGATACTGCTACAGTTACTTTGGTGAAGGGCAAGATGGGAAAAGAAAGTAATTAAAGTAATTACTGCTTTTAAAATAAGGTTCTTTAGTCATCATTGTATTGATACTTTCATAAGTTTTGCTACCACAAGGATTAAAAAGATGTGTATAAAAGGTGAGTCATGTTTAGCCATGCTAACCACGGGCAGCCAAATCCTCTGACAACTTGTATTCTATCAAATTTTATTCACAGAAACACAAGTCTGGAGAGAACTTCTGAAGTTTCCCCAATCCAGAGTCTGGCTCTTTGCACCAAAACCCATATATAACCTAAATTCTACCTAATAAATACTTTTTAACTGCTCTTGAAAGCCTGATTCTCTTCTATTTCTATCTTAATTTCAGATTAAAAAAACAGGTGTATTTTTTCTGCACGTTTTCTTATGATCCATGGAGATACAGTCATGGTGTGTGGTATTAGCTGTCTTATGAAATCCATTCAAGGCAGATGTAGCAATACATCCTTTGACTTTTTAATTTCTTAGGATTGGGTACTGAGAATAGAACGTAGGAGGTAAAACACAACCAAATCAGAGAAGATGAATTCATAGTGTAAATGAAGCATGGTTAAACAAAGGTCCATTTACAAATTAAATCCTTATTTAGTTGTGGACTCTTCTTCATGTTCATCTTGTGCTTTCTAAACTGCAGCTAGCATCAGAGTACAGCAGCAAAACACAAACCTACTAAAAGCTCTACTGTTGTGTGCAATTACGCAACTATAAGATTAAGCATTTATCCACTGTTCATTTTTCAGCGGCAGGTAGAAAATAGACAAAACTTTGTTAGTAAAGATCTTTAAATTAAAAGCTCAATTTCAATTAAATAAAAATAAAAAGCTTAAAATTAACTTTGGGTTTCTTTGTTCTCTGTCGGATCCCTTATTGCAGCTCAAAGTCATTTACAGTCCCCAAATCATCTTAAAGCAGCCTCGCCACTGTTGCTCAGCCACATGGGACATGAGCACTGTTAGACTGAGAAGTAGGTCAAAATAGAAATGCGGGTAAATTATACCGATGGTGTAAAAATACCGTGTAGTTGCTTTTTGTTCCTGAGAAACCAGCCTGTGGCTGCTTCTCCACTGACACCACTACAGCAAATTAGGCTGGCATGAGTCCGTGACAGATGGTGGGCACATGCCTCACGCCTACTGTGGTCCTGTCTAATAAGAACTGAGGCAGGGAAAAGGAAGCTCTGGAGTACAAGTTTTGTGGGAGGAGAGACTCCCACTACCACACAGGGACTGCAGGGAGAGGCAAGGCTGAGCTCCCTGGGCAAGGACACCCTGGCACAAGGACAGGGCAGAGCCGTAGCAAGGACTGCAGGGAGAACAGTTCCAAGGGCAGGCAGGAAAGCTGTCCAAACTTTTAACAGCCTGCAGGATTCCTGAGGGATGTATTCCAAGGATGTGTTGTTTTGTTACAGCAGACTGCACTCCCAGAGCAGCCTGGAGCTGAAAGGTGACCCAAAGCCACCCACCTCACAAATACACTGCAAGAACTTCAGCCAGAGTGTCCATTTGGTTGGTTGGATTTGCAATCAAATCATAAAGTGAAACCATATTCAAAAATCATAACATCAAAATTAGAAATTTAAGTTAGTTTTCCATTATTGTAGTTAAATTATTGTGATATTTAAGTTCGGTGGGATTAAATAACTGTGATTAAATCCCATGGGTGTAAGTTATAGGCATTATTACTCCTCTGAGGAGTTGGATCCTTACCCATGCACACTTCTTACAAACTTTTCCATTTGCCTCGTTGAAGCCCTGGCTTCAAATTGTTTCCTTTTGGGCTCTCCATAAGCCCCTATATCCACATAGAGTTCGGCTTCATCTCCTTTGGGGTGGACCATACCAGGATTGTTGGGCAATATGAAAGGACATAACCAAAGAGGGTACACCTGTGGGGGTAGGAAAACACTGTATCACTTATTTTGTAACAAAACAATCCTTTAAGCTTGTTAATAAATGTAACACAGTAAAGAGTTAAGAAGACTTCTTCTCCATCTGGGATTGAA